GTAGCCACCACCTCCGTAGCCTCCGGCACCGCCGCCGTAGCCTCCAGCACCTCCCTGAGGGGGGCCGTTGAAACCACCGCCGCTGCCTCCGAAGCCGCCGCCGCCACCACCACCACCGCCGAACTTGCGGTAGTCACGGTTGGCAGCACCACCACGGCCTCCACCACGAGAGCGACCGCCACGACCACCACCACCGTAGGATGATTCGCGGGCAATAGTCTCAAGGAAGGCAGGAATCTCCTGGTTGGCCTCCTTGAGAAGCTCCATGAGCTCACGGACGACACCACGGTTGCCGCGGTTGAAGAAGGCAGTGGCGATACCAGTGTTGCCGGCGCGACCGGTACGACCAATGCGGTGGACGTAGTCGTCAATGTCGGTGGGAAGATCGTAGTTGATCACATGAGTGACATTCGGAATGTCCAAGCCTCGCGCGGCAACGGCGGTAGCAACAAGAATGGGGCATCGGCCGTTGCGGAAGAACTCGAGGGCACGCTCACGCTCACGCTGAGTTCGGTCACCGTGAATCGAAGTGGCGGGGAAGTTCTGGTTGATGAGGAAGTCGGAGAGCGAGTCGGCCATGCGCTTGGTCTCGACGAAGATCAGGGTGAGACCACCGGCGTGGGTGTGAAGGATGTCAAGAAGAACGGAGCGCTTGTCAACGTCCTCGACATACTCAACCTTCTGGGTGATGTTCTCAGAGGTGGAACCGACACGACCGACCGAGAGGAAGACGTAGTCCTTGAGGAAGTCGCGGGCGAGCATCTGGATGTCGCGGGGGAAGGTGGCCGAGAACATCAGGGTCTGACGATCTTGAGTGGATGGCATATCTTCTCCCTCGACGATGCGGCGGATCTGGGGCTCGAAACCCATGTCAAGCATGCGATCAGCCTCATCGAGAACCAGGTACTTGATGTTGCAGAGGGAGATGCGACCTCGCTCTATGAGATCGACCAATCGACCGGGAGTAGCAACAAGCAGATCGCAGCCGCGCTCGATCTGTCGGAGCTGGGAGCCAATATCGGCACCACCGTAGACGACGCAAGGTCGGACCCAGGATCGGTAGGCGAACTTTCGGGACTCCTCGTAGATCTGAGAGACAAGCTCACGGGTGGGGGCGAGGATCAGAGAGGTAGGGTAGGCCTTGCGCTGACGACCAAACTGTCCCGCGGCATTGGCGGGGACAGGAGAAGGACCGTTGATAAAGGCCTGAGAGAGGATGGGGAAGAGGAAACCACCAGTCTTTCCGGAACCAGTCTGAGCACAAGCCATGAGATCGCGGCCGCCCATGACAATAGGGATGGAGTACTTCTGGACGGGGGTGGGGACCTTGTAGTGGGCGAGCTCGATGTTGCGGCAGAGGTGCTCATCCAGAGGAGGGGTGGTGAACTGGTGGACAGGCTCGGGAACATCGTGGCCAGAAGCCTCGACAGGGATGTCGTCGTACTTCTCGAAGTTGATACCGGTGTGCTGCTTGGAAGGGTCGTCGGGGGTACCGAAAAGTTCACGCTCGACACGGGGGTTAGCCGGACCGGGGATGTGCTTTCCGTCGCGCCACTGGCCATCGCCAGAGCCACGAGCACTGTAGTTGCCACCACCGCCGCCACCAGAGTGGCCGTCGAAGTTGCCGCCACCGCCATAACCACCGCCTCGACCACCCCAGCCGCCGCGGCGGGTGTTGTTGTTCTGGTAGGTGGGAACGTCGTTGCCCCAGTTGGACTGGCGGGCGCCGTAGTTCTGGCTGCAGAGAAGGTTAGTAATTGTTACCAAGTGAAGCTATCGCGAAACACTTACTTAGCCCAGGCGCTGTTGCCGAGACCGTTGGGACCGGGACCAGCAGCGGCACCGGGACCGGGGGCAGGGCCAGGAGCAGGGCCAGGAGCAGGAGCAGGAGCAGGAGCACCGTTCATAGCGGGGGCAGCGGCAGGAGGACCGCCCTGGCGGCGCATATGAGGAGGAATGTAGGATCGGTTCTGGGTAGGCTGCTGGCCGCCCTCGCCCAGGTTGAGACCGCCCATGTTGAGTTGATCAGCCATGTTGGAAATAATCGCGTTTCGGGTCGAGTCGGTGATGGAAAGAATGTCGGGTCGTATAGACACGAAAAACGATGAACTCGATGAAGGCGAAGAAGACTCTCAAATGTGAACGAGAGTGAGCAGTGATGGGATTCCCGTCGTGCGAAAAGGACAGGAAAAAGACGAAAGAGAAAGAAACGGAAGGCCGATGCTTCCAATGATTTCCCGAATGAATTACTTTGGGCACAAACAAGCGTCAGTGTTTGCACAGATCCCTCGAAGAACACGCAGAATCTTCAAAGGAAAGACCAAGGAAAGACGAAATGTCTTGGGGAAAGACGAGGATGGAGGGGAGATGGGAGGAGGATTGAGAGAGAGGTGAAGAAGGGGTTGTTGTTGGAGGAGAGGAAGAGAAGAGAAGAAAAGGAACCAGGTCGAGAGGCAAAAGAAGAGTGGGAAGAAAAAAAATTGGTTCGAGTTGGGGCCAAAAGCGGTTTAGCGCGGGCATTCGGCTGGGTCACGATTTTTGGGGGGGGATTGTGCGCCTTCTGCGGTGAGGGCGAGGGGGGAGGGAATCGGGAGGGAGAGAGGGCGAGGGAAGGCCGTGAGTGGGCGATGCAGGGCTCGAGGTACCCTCCAAGTACCTTTTGGCCACCGCCCGAATCAGAGGGAGCCAGTGACGTTGGGACGACAGCGGAGAATGCCTGCAAGAGGCTTGACGTGGCTGGGCAGAAAAACGGAAAAAGAACTGACCTGGTACTTATGACGAGGGAGGGCACTAGGGAGACGACGGGGGATCGTTGACTGGATGGAAGAGGTGTGCGCTGAGTCGTTGCTGAACCGGCGCAGGTTTGGGACGAGTTTGAGAGGTGTGTTGTGTTGCTTCGCCCACGGTTGAGTTGAGTTTTGGGGTTCCAGTTGGGAGGGCACTAAGAGATGATCCCCGGGGAAGCTTGTGACAGGAGAGTCAAGTTACTAAGCCGCCTAATCACCCGTGGGCCGGACAGAAGGGAGACACTGGCAGACTGGCAGAAGAAGGGCGGAGAATCCAAATGGAAGAGACAAGCTCAGGATGGGGGTTTACCTTGCAAGGGGGGGCAAAGTGGAAGAATGTAGGCGAGCGAGTGGGCGAGGTTGGGCTTGTTGTTTTTTTTCCCTCTGGAGAAGACGGGACGGGACCTAGGGGACTCGAGGTACTTGGTCGGTACCTGTCGCAGAGAGAGCCCTGGAAGGCTGGGATCAGTACCTACCTAGCGGCTGGCCGGGGGTGGATAGAGGCTCCCGGCTGGACTGGGTACAGTAATCGTAATCGCTAGACTTGCACTGGCCGCCCGCGGGTTGAGATATGACGACGGGGGATTTTTTCGGGGTCTCTACAAGGGGGTATTTCGATGGCAATTATCACCGGATTTGAAGAATCCGAGAATCAAGGGATTTGGTAGAGTTACAAGGGAGTATACGTTGTATCGGATGTGCTCGCGTTGCCGGCTTGCGAGTGTCAAGGACCTGTTCAAGTACCGGACCGGGTTTGGGGGGTTTGAGAGCCGGAACTCAGGGAAGGGGGTAAGAAAAAAATCGTCGTGGTAACCAAAAGACGGGAAGCCGGTTGCAAACAGTGTTTCACATCATTTTTTATTGCTGCTTGCACCGGACATCAAGTCCAACAATCCTGGATGCTTCACCTGTACAGGTATCAACTGCGTAGAGCAACAAGCCTCAAGTTTTTGCTCTTCTTGCCTTGCTCGGCTCCTACAGCGCAGGGATTCAAGGGCCAGCAGAGGCCAGATTAGGTGCGTGGCATCGTAGGTTGATGACGAAATCTCCGATAAGCGGGTGAACTGGCGCAACACGCCTGCTATCAAACGACGAGGAATCCCAGGCTTTGATATCAACCAGCAGTGAATTCTCGTGACTCGTACTCTTGACCGGTCATCGACAATGCCACCAGCAATACATAATATCGTCATCGTCTCCTGGGGGGCCATGATTCCTGCAAGCAATCGACATGCTGCAACATCCGATCCTTGCCATGGATGCCATGCACAGTTCGGCCTTGATTGCACAGTATCAGTCGATATCCCATGACCCCTAGGCAACCTGCAACTCAGGCATGAGACCACCCACACGGAACCCCAGAAGGGCACCATGATTCAGACACGGAGGCTTCTCCCAGAAAATCTAGAACCTGCTGATCGCCGGACGTCATCCAATGGCAAATCAAACATGAAAAACTCAAAACGTGACACACACATCCCTTCCCCTTCCCTTCCATCTCCGAACTCTTCCTCACCATCTCCGAACAAGCCCCAGTAAAGGTTCTCGGGTTTGACTTGCTTGACACCTGGAGGGGCTCAAAAGCAAGTGGGCACACATTTCTGGGGTCACGGCACTGTCACCCCATCGACCCGTGCTTGGCCGTAGGGCTGCCTGGCTATGTACCAGGATCGAGATCTTTTAGTACCGAACCATTGTCTGGTAGTACGTTCATCTTAATCTGACGGCATGCCTTGGGGGACAAGGGGATGAGGAACATATACTATGTAGTAAGAACTATCTAGTTGCTTGGAGGACAATGATGTCAAGTTGGGTTAATCTGCGCTAGATATGATTCCCTAGTCTTTGTTTCCTATCGCCTACTCCGAATGACTGTTGATTTCTTTGTTCGGGTTACACTAGGAAAACGCCTTCGTACAATTATGGATACATCGGCTGGCGATGACCGACGACCAATAACTCACTGAGCGAGGAGGGAACTTCGCATTCGTAGTCGCGAGTTTTGAGGGTTCAATGTTATTGGTGCTGAAATCCCGGGTGCTAGACTTGCACAAATGTCTTGCTGATAATGGATGGGTTGCCAATATCAGATACAGCAGTCCCCCTCCCCATCTACTGGATTCTTCTGTGAATCAGTAGAGGGCTAATGTAACGGGATGAACTCTGAAACACTCAGTCGAGCTCTCATATCCATTAAAACATGCTGTACCAGCCTTGGAGGAAACCATCTTTATTGCAAGCATTAGCCCCCATGACCCATCTAAAAGTACAGATTCATGTTTCCCCTTCTATCCGTCGCTGGACCCCGCTTAGGCGCTCTTCACCACCTTGTCGTCGTCAAACTCTATGTCAACAATCCCGTCCGCCTTGACCGCCTTGACCACCATGCCCTTGAAGTCAATCGGTAATCGGCGCTTGAGCTCGTCGGTGCACATGGTCAGGATCTTGATTCCCTGGCCGAGCGTGATATCGGGGTGGTGGTGCTTGTCCAGGATGGAAAGGCAGTAGTATCTGTGGGATCATGTCAGTCTGGACTGTGTCTCGGCTTCAACACCAAGGACCAACGTACTGTGCGTATCCGTGCGCCGCATAGGGAACATCGGCCAGCGACGCTAGGTAGTCGAGCCAGTACAGCGACGGCTTGCCGGTGATGGGATCGACACCTCCCATGAGGAGGTTGACGTTGTAGGGCTTGCGGGATCGCAGACTCGTGGCGAGCTCTCCACGAACAAAGTGCGCCAGGCCGGAGGGGGATAGGTCGGACTCGTTGCGCATAGAGTAGAGCTGGGCATTTCGTTGGATGTATTCGGCGAATTGGACTGCGAGGAGGCGTTAGCTGTCGTCATGGGCAGTGGTTTCAGCTCACGGCTGCTCAGATGCTCCCAGTACCTGTGTCACCGGCCTCTCCAGAGAATGCCAGGAGGGTATGCTTGTTGAGGGCTCTGGTCTTGTCGTCGGATGCCTTGAGGATGGTGGCGCCTCGCATCGCAGCCTTGGATGCTGCGATGATGGTGAAGTCCTTGCCAGTGATTCCCAACAGTACCTCCCTAGGAACAGAGCATTAGCGGATGTTACAGCTGTAGCTGAAGCTCGGACGAAGCTCACATGTTGGCGATTTTATGATTTGGTGGGAGAGAGTTGTCGAGGTTGAGTGGTAGACGAGTTGTAGTTGTCAGCCTTTCTTGGAGGTCCAGCAACAGCAGCAACCAAGCAAGCTCCCCCGTTAGGCTGTAGCGCTGCGCGTCAGTATCCGTGAGCTGCCCACTGCTGCTTTGTGCCCCTCTTGACCGCTCGAGCCGGAAAAACTGGCCCCAGTCGTTGGTCTGTGATTCGCCGGGTGCTGCATGTGGTTTTTCCGAGTTCCACTGTCGCTCAACTTTTTTTTTCAGACAGCCCAGAAATTTATTCGCAGAGGGTCAGTTTGAAGTCGTGAGCAGGCTGCCAAACTCACGGCGTCGCCACCATGTCTTCATTCTTTACGGTTCCAGGCTCCCAGAAGAAGCGCAAGCGCACAGAAGCCCCCGGGCCACCAAAGAAGAGGCTCGCTGCCTCAAAATCCTCTGGAAAGGCACCTTCAAAGGTTCCCGGCCCCACCAAGAATCGAGTCGAGCGAGACGACGACGAGTCCATCTCTGGGAGCGATTCAGACGAGGATGACGAGAGCTACGACAGCGTTTCGAAAGACAGAGACGCCGAGGAGCAGGATGAGTCGGACGACGAGGGAGAGACTGCCGCCGAGCGGAGGTTGCGGCTCGCAGAGCGATACCTTGAGAACGTCAAGGAGCACGTGGACGAGGCCGGATTCGATGCGGCAGACATTGACCGGGACCTGATCGCCGAGCGACTACAAGAAGACGTTGCCGAGACAAAGGGACGAGTGTATCGTCAATTGGCCTCTGAGCTGGCCATTGACAAGGCCACGCGCACCTTTTTCCGAAGCAACACCAACGCCGTCACCTCGATCGCCGCCTGCGCCCCCTACATCTACACCACCACCAAGGACCTATACGTACAAAAGTGGAAGACCCAGGACCTTCCGCAGAACCAGTACCCTCAGACGACGAGGCGGAAACCAAAGAAGCCCCCAGCGCCCCCGAGGAAGCAGCCCAAGCTCGAGACGTGGCTCAAGGGCACCACGGCAAAGTCCAAGGACAAGAACTACCAGCGCCACACGGACCGCATCCTCGCCATTGCCGCCTCGTCCGACGGCAAGTTTGTGGCCACCGGCGGCGCGGACCACAAGCTCATCATCTACGACGCCCCTACCCTCAAGCCCCTGAAGGTCTTTACCCACCACCGCGACGCCGTCACTGGGCTGGCGTTCCGCAGGGGGACCAACCAGCTGTACTCTTGCTCCAAGGATCGCACGGTAAAGGTCTGGAGTTTGGACGAGCTTGCCTATGTCGAGACGCTGTTCGGCCACCAAGACGAGGTTCTCGACATTGATGCTCTTGCGCAGGAGCGCTGCGTCAGCGTAGGCGCGCGCGACCGAACGGCTCGTCTGTGGAAGGTAGCTGAAGAGACTCAACTCGTCTTCCGTGGTGGCGCTGTAGACAAGAAGTCTCGGCCGGCCGTCAACCCGCGATCACTCCTCCATGAGGGTAGCATGGACCGTGTCGCCATGATCGACGACGACCTCTTTGTCACCGGAAGCGACAACGGCTCCCTCGCCTTGTGGAGTGTTCAGAAGAAGAAGCCCGTGTACATCGAGCCCATCGCGCATGGCATCGAAAAGCCCCTGGATCCTAAGGAGGCGTCAGCCGAGCAGGATCCAGACCCTCAAGTCGTCCCGCCCCCAACACCCCGCTGGATCACCGCCATAAAGACTATCCCCTACTCCGACGTTATCCTTACTGGCAGCTGGGACGGCCACATCCGCGTCTGGCAGCTAAGCTCGGACAAGCGCAAGATCGAGTTCCGCGGTGTCCTCTCGGCGCCCGGGGAGGAAGAGGAGGACGGAGCGCCGGGTCCCATCACGGGCGTCGTCAATGACATCTCCTTGTTTGAGCGCGGCGACCGAGGCAAGGACGGCTTGTGCGTCGTGGTGGCCGTAGGCCGTGAGCACCGGTTAGGAAGATGGAATCCGCCCGTCAAGGTCGGACGGAACGGAGGTGTCGTGTTCGAGATCCCGAGGATACAGCGGCAGGCCGTCAACGGGGCAAGCGGAAGCTCAGACGAGGACGAGGAGGAAGATGAATGAGAAGCGTAATAGATGTCATATGAAAGCACCTTTATTTGAATAGACGTGGCGGAGACTGAACCCACACCAAATGTCACAAAAGCATACCCAACCTACCTACATATCCCCCTTTTATTTCTATTGTACTTGTCATGATATTGCCCGTCATTATGGAGTCTGGGTCTTGTCTTTAACTTGTTGGCTGGGTATTGGTTGTATCTCGATATCCTCTCTACCGTAAAAAAAGCCTTCGTCACTCTCATGATTGTAAAAAAAACAACAACAACGCTCCTCTGCTTTATTGCTCTGATGCAAGGCCTCCAAACGCCCCGAGATGCCACACAATGCAAACCCTAGCTTTCCATGACAAGAATCACTTCTCCGTACCTGTCTCGGCCAATGCTCAGAACCTAAAAAAAAATGCTATGCTCGACTCTACCCGTTTTGGTCGTCGTCTCGTTGCTATTCCCATCCCATAGCTCCCCTTTAACTAGTGAGATCAATGGATCGATCAACTCCATCATACTGTGGTCCCCCTTCAGAAGGCTTATCGACTTCAATACTGGCCATGATAGTTGGTTCTAGGTCAATGACATGAACCCTGCTGGTTGACTTTGCTGAAGGAACGTCGCTCGAGACGGTGACAACCACAGGTGAACTGTTTCTCCTCACTGTCGATGAAGTGCCAGGAGGCTGAGAAGCCGAATGAGCTAGTCTCTGTACAAACTGGGGCGGCGTTGACTTTGGCGGCGATTTCTGCTCAGGAGGGGACTTTACTCCATCGGCAGACTTAACAGGCATCTTGGATGCACTGTTGATCGGTGAACAAGGTGCCGAATGAAAGACTTCGTTGGAACTCGAGGTCTTAACTTCGGTAACGCCGTCATCTTCCAGAGGCTGCATGACCTGTGGCTTGCCTCTGCTTGGTGTCTGAGGCTGTATCGGCTGCTCAGAGGGCATCACCTGAAAGTATGCCGAGATCTCGTTCGTCTTCTTGGGCTCGTTGGCCACCGGGGTCTTGACACCATTCGGCATCGGGCTTTTCACCTCATGGTTGACTCTTGGTGTCCCGGGGCTTTTCGGCGGCACCTGGGGGGAAGATGGCACTACCTGGGAAGACGAAAGGCCTAGCTTTGCGGCCTTGAGCTGCTTCTTCTGCTGCTTCTCCTTCTCTAAACGTTCATGCTGCTCCTGTTGCAGTGCGAAGAGGATGTTTCGGACCTTTTTTCGAATTTGTGAAGGTCGGATATTCCAATTCGTCTGTTCCTTCTGGAGCAATTTCCGGACAGCTTCATCCGGGTCTTGGAGGAAATGTTCCATATATCCCAAGACAAAGACTCCACAGTCACAGTAGTTGTCCTGCTCAGGGATATTTCGAGCCGTCATGCCACCTGGGGGGGTTGTGATCTCGACACCCTTCTTGTGCTTGGCCTCCTCAACGAGGTAATCCCGGAGGCACTTGCAAGTTGGCGAATGTGCGGAACCGAGAGAGTCAAGGGTGATAATCCTGGGTTCATCGATGCTAAACTTTTGGGTTCCACCGCTCGACTTCCGCTTGCTTGTCTTGCTGGGAGCCTCGGCGTTCTTAACAGGCACGGCGTCCGAGGCAGTATCGCTGACGCCGTTGGTCACCTGGTCGCCGTTTGGCTTGGAAACCTCCTCATCGAGAGAGATTGTGGCAAGGGTACGCTCGACAGGCGAGAGCTTCGGGGATCTCGTTGCATCATTATCCTCAACGACAATCGCCTCGCGCTCACTTGATGGGGTTTTCTTTTCCGGTTGAGGTAGCAGTCGGGGAGCGTTGTAAATGATGGCAAGATACCAGTGAGCGTTCTCGTTGACAGGAACGACAATGTAGTCGTAGGAGAGGAGATCGATTCTCGCAGTCCAAGCCTTGACGCCGTCATAGTTGATCTTGGCACGATTCGACCTCAGCTTCTCGAAGAAGAATGTGTTGAAGATGTAGACCTTGTCCAACACCTCGGGGCGCTCCTTTTCCAGCTGAATCTGGAGGTAGCGAAGGTAGAAGCTGATGAGGTTGTCGTTGAGAAACTCGCCTTCATCGAGTCTCGGGATATCATCTCTGTCGACAGTAGCCCGGTTCTTGCCAGTTGGGGGGTATACCAAGGACCTGTGCCAGTCCTTGTCCCAATCTGGGTTCTGCATACTCCAACGATCCGGGGTTTTGTCACGGATCAACGGAACTGGAGACGATCTTCGGGTCCGTCGGGTCTCGGGTCGTTGGCTCCGAGTGACCACAGGGGCCTCTTTCAACTCTTTTGGTTCCGTCTTTGCGTCCTTTGCTGGCTCGGGGACGCCCTTCATCTGATCCTTGAGTTTAATGGGCCTTGGAGTGATGGGCTCACCCTTGAAGGGATCTTTCCTCTCTGAGTACTCGCCTGAGGTCTGTTCCATAACAGCCGCAAGCCGAGCTGCAGCAGGACTACGAATCTTTGACTGTTTGTGCTGTGCCTCAAACTCCTTGGCCTTTGTGAAAACGGTTTTGAACTTGAGCCCGAGTGACACGCTGAATATTATTAGTCGTTGTTCTCTGAGATCGACCTGACACACAACACTTACTCGTCACTCTCTTCTTGTTTACACCCGTATAGCCAGTTATGGAGGCAAAGAGCATCGTTCTTGCTTGCAAGCTGCAATACCAGTGTGCCCGGGCTTTCTGCTGTCATCGGACGGTTGATGTGGATAAAGCAACTGTTTGTGGCGGCGTGTTGGATAGATTTGACCGATTTTCTCTTGATTTCAAGCCAGGGAGCATGTTCTGCCGTTCCCTTCCCTTCGTCAACGACCTTAGCGAGGTACTCTCCAAGGCGAAGCTTCACTTGTTGGTCAGGCTTCTCTGCATAGAAACGGTATCGTCCACTAGCAGCTCCAACTACGCCCAGGTCAGGGTACTCCGGCTTGTTCACTGCCTCTCGTCCCCGTGACACAGGCCGTACTGTCTGGAAAGCTGTGCGATGGATATCTCCTCGCTGCCTGGATCGATTTGGAGATTGGGACACCAATGACGAAAAGTTGGTCGGTTTCTTTCCAGTGGGTAGGTTGTTGCGTCTGTTTGGCTCTGAAAGCTCATCCGCAAAGTCGTCGTTTGACTTGAAGCGCTTGGAAACTGGCGGCGCATAGGCTACTGCTCGTCTTTTCGGCTGAGCAACAAGATCGGACACGGTATTAGAAGGAGGTGGATTGTCCTCTGACCAACCATCCAACTCGTCGATGTTCGCGCTAGAATGTCGATGTTGAGGTGGAAGGTTGCGGTGCTGGACGGCGTGGGCATCATCGACCTCCGTAGGGCTGGGGGTCAGCCTTCTGCCTGCTCGTGACCGTCTTTGCCGGGGCTTCTTCATAGAGTTTCGTGACTGCACATGGCGGTACTCTGAGATATCGACCGCAGTGGATGTGTTTTTGCTGGTGCTGGCGACGCTCAAGACGTCTATTGTGTCTGGTTGAGAACCATCTCTCGTCAAGTCGTGAATCTGAGGTGTTGAGGTGCCGGGCGAGTCGTCTTCGACGTCTTCAATCGGTCGTTTTTGTGTCGCAAAGTAGTTTGATGTGAGGCCGGTTGAGGACCGGTCGTCCGTACGTTTCTGGCGCTTCGAAGATCGATCGTCCGGTGGCGGTGCTATTCGTGAATTCTTTCTGGTCATCGGGCCATTACAGCTCATGGTGCTCACCGGCCCCTGCTGGCCATTGAGCGCCCTCTGCTCTCTGTATCAGCATCGTCATGTATCAAGCTGCACAGACAGCAAGGCGGACCGACCAATCGTGAACTCATGTTTGCGCGATCACCCGGAGCGCTCCGAAGAGTGTCAGCGCGAGGGTCGTATTTCAGGAGCGGTCCAAGGGCCTACCCATAGTCCGGGAAAGAGTTGTTGGCGTCGGAGTGATAGCGAGCTAAGGGACTGCAGGCTGCGTGTTAGAGCTCTGCTCGGCGCGAAGCGAAGGACGAGACGGGGTCGCAAGCAGAAAGGAGACAAGAGCAGTGCGCACTCCCATTGAGCCTTTTTCCTCCTCTGGTCCCTCAAAGGCGAAGACGGAGCGTGGCCCTCCAGCTTTCCACCCTGTAGAAAAAAAAGTTGACGACTGGGGCAGGTTTTGGGTGTGGAGGCGATCGTCGGGGTCGGCGGTCTGGGCCGCTCGGCGTTGAAGACTTTAGCAGTACTCGGGAGCAGGCAGAGAAGCCGAGTGCCTGAAGAGGACGAAATGCTTAGGGACGCATGCAGAGTCGAGCGCTGGGATCGAGGGGAAGAGAATGGCGTGCAGGACGCAGGTGAGGTGACGTGGGAGGAGATCTAAGAAGAGATGGATGGATGGATGGAGTGAACTTTCAGGTAAGGTAGAGGCTGGAAATCAAGCACCGGGTGCTAGTGGGGTCCGTCCTCTAAATTTTAGTGCTTCTTCGGGGCATCGCAACCTTCGGCAGTGGAGACTGAGCCAACTGTCAGCCTCGCAGGGACCGAGCTGTTGGAATCCAGGGACCAGACGATGGAGTGAGCTAAATAGCACATATTTATGAGATGAAATGCTTTCTACTGACTATAAAGGGATTCTACATCCTATAAAACTTGGCTTTCACTTTCAATTTTATCTATTTCCACCCTCTATTATCCACACTCTCTCATCTGAAGCTTGTGTCTGTCGTCACAACCCCACAATGACCCAATCAACCACAAGGCTGAGACGCCACACCTCCAGCGCCTCAGGGACTGGCTCCAAAAACGTGGCCAGTAAATGTACTTACTTAGACCTACAACACCAAAGACGCGACAACGCACCGTCCGTCTTTAAACATCATTCTCCCTTTTCCTTTCTCTTCTTATAGTACGAGGGGAATGCTTCGATAGCATTCGATAATTCGCCCGCCATGTACAACTCCCTCACTCGCGTCCAAAACTCGTTTGGCTTCTTCACCACCGTCTCATTCGTCGTCGCAGCCTTCATCGCCGCCTCCGATCTCCTTGCGCCGCGCATCCCTTCCACAGGCCTCATCGCCCCCACAAACGTCCAGGTGTACGTTTGCCTCATTCCCGTTTGCTAGCAATCGCTGACAACTTTTATCTTGTGCAGTGTCAAGGGTCGCCCGCATTACTATAGCTCCAAGAAGGAGGAGTACGCCATCATCAAGTTCTCCCTCGAAGCCGACTTCTCGTCCCTCTTCACATGGAACACTAAGCAGCTCTTCGTCTATGTCACCGCCGAGTGGCCAGGCCCCGGCAATGCCACCAACGAGGCTGTCATCTGGGACTCCATCATCACCAACCCGAGCGCCGACCATCTGAAGAACATTGGCCCTGTTGCCATGAAGAAGCTTAAGCGCAGCGCCGAGGGCAAGTCCATTGACCCCAGCCGGTAAGTCTTGAACCAATTGCACAACTCGCGAGTGGTATGGCCTGACAGGAATCTATAGTGGCATCCTTAAGCTGAGGAACCAGAAGCCCAAGTACCAGATCACCCACCCTAGCGGCAAGGTCGCTGAGAAGGACAACGTGGAGCTCAAGGTGCACTACAATGTTCAGCCCTGGGTCGGCCTCCTGACTTGGGACCAAGGCCAGGATATCGGCCTCTGGAAGAAGTTGGCTGGCGGTGTTAGTGAGAAGTTCCAGCTCCCCGCCCTCAAGACCAAGAAGAAGGACGCCAAGAAGAGCGCCTAGAGGAGGCCAGCTCCCATGCTAGTCCTTAAATCCAGATCTATACTATAGCATGCTATGGCGTTTAATGGAGTGGGTAATCATCGTTGAATTTCATGTTTATGGGTACTGTTTGGCCCAGACAATTATCTTCGTGATTTCATGATACATGCAGATATCTACATTTTGTCTATACGACTTTGTTCACATCCACCATCTCTCATGACACCATGCTTAGAAACCCAGACCTGTCAACATATATCGTAACACGTAAACAAAGTACACGGTCCGTCAAGGCTGATAAACCCAAAGACCAGGCATCTAGCCCTGGGTTGCGTTACTAGCAGCCCCTCCGTTGCCTCTTCCACGTCCTCCACGTCCTCTTCCGCCGCGTCCACGACCGCGTCCCCTTCCTCGTGGTTGGTCGAGGCTGGCAGGCGGCGGCACGTTGCCGTACTTTTGCTCTCCTGCATCGGGAGCGGGTGAGCCATGCAGGTTGCCGCGTCCACGACCTCGCCCGTTTGAAGGGGCACCGCCCCGAACTCGATAGCCGTCCTGGCCCTGGTGTGCGCCATCGGGACCGTTGCGGTAAACCAGGGTGCTGTGGACGAGGTTAGGGCCACCTCCACGAGCCCCGTTGCCTCGGCCACGCGAGGGTGTACCGTTCAAGGCTCCTCGCCATCCACCGCGCAGGGGCGCCGGAGCAGGCGCGTCTCTATACTGAGGGTGGCCAACATTCTGGTACCCGCCCGCCGGGGCCGTCGCAACGGGCCGTCGCTGTTGCGCTCTGCTGGTGGTTGAGACGACCTGCTTGTCCGTCGTGTTCAGCACAGCAGAGGCCGCAACAGTCTGGCCACGGAACATGGGAGCTCTCTCGTTGAGCGTAGTTCCGCTCATGAAAGCTGTGTCCCAGACGACATCCAATAAAAGAGCTGTGGCCGTCCTGCTGATGCCGACAACCGTTCCACGGGTGGCAATAGGCACCTTTCCAGCAGCAGAAACATACGTGACTCGGTCTCCCAGGCCAAAGTTCTGGTTGCCAAGCACCATCTCGGCGTCGGACGGCTTAAGGAGGGCCGAGCGAGGAACGCCACGCAGCTTCTTGATGTCAATCTCCTGAGAAGCGACATGAATCTGCTCTCCAACGGTAGCCAGAGCCTGGACGACGGCCGAGTCAAGCTGTTCGGCTTCCAGGGGAACACGCTCAAACTGGTTCGTCTTTTGCGACTTCAGCCAAGCAGCGATTTCCTTGACCTTCTGGGACGCAACGGCGGGGTCCTGCCACAAGTCTGTCTCGTAAACGTCGCTCTTTTGAGGCTCCCTCTGGATGGCCGCAAAGAATTCAGGGAAGGTAACCATGTAGTTGGCAATAAGCTGGATCGCCAGACCGCTGAATTCCCAACCGGTATGGGACTTTCTCGAGTAACCGAGCACCTTTTGCTTTCGGCCTTCGAACTTCAAGTTCAGACCAAGGTTCAACTTGAACCCACCAGAGTTGATGACCTGGTAGGACGAAGTGATCTTGCTCAGCACAAGAGGATGAACGCCCAGCTGCTTTGCGACGGCGAACGAAGGAGTGTAAGAGTTGTTGCGCTCAGCCTGGTGGATGATCTGCTTTGCGAACTCGGGCTCCTTATTCTTGAGCATCGAAACTACAATCTCTGCCTTGTTGTTGGTGTGAGCAGTGACCTCAAGAGGGCGGCCGTAGGCATATTCGCCGAGGAAGAACGCCCGTGTGCCCTGTGGGAACTCTTCCTCGATAGGCAATGCTGCCTTCTCAAGGAAGCGCTCGTCTTCATTGACAACCTCGTCAACGATGGTCTGTGCAGCGTAGGTGCTCCTGAGGCTTGGGTTCTCGGCATACTCCTTGATCAATGCACCCTCCTCGGTTCTGATGAGGCCCTTCAGCATGTGGACATAGATGAGGCATTCGACTTGTCCAATAATGATACCGAACCGCTTTGAGTGCATGTTCTCAAGAAAATCAGACTCCCTGGCCCAGTCGGCGGCCTCTCTGTTGTTGTGATCCTTAGTCACAATGTCTTTGCCATTCTCGGCCAATTCGTAGCTGAAGAGCTCGTCTTGAACCTTCATGACCTTGGCTTCTTGAAGGAATGGATAGCCCACGAAACAGCGCTGGCCCAGCTTTGCCTTCCAGGTTTCTGTCTTGGTGCGGTTCTCCGTATCAGTCAAGGTAACAATAACACTTGGGTTCTTGCTGTCCTGTTGGAAAACGTTGACACCAAATCCTCCGAGAAGTTGGGCAGTGTAGGGAAGAGTATGCAGCGAGGGGAAGCCAGCAAGAGCATCAACGTTCAGCAAGGCGCCGGTTGTCAGTCCGGCAAGGTAATCGAGGCCCTCCATGTCGGGAAGATCGAAGATGTTTTCGATACACCGGCAGTTTTGAACCTCAGGGAAGACGCCAGGCAGAGGCGACGGGTAGACAAAGTCCACGTCAGGTGAGTAAGTGAACTTGAGGGGGACACCAAAACCGTTTCGGGCCTTCTCATCCGGCTCCAGGTTGTCATTCTTTGTTGCCATAGCCCCCAACAGGCGCTTCTCATCAATGAAGGGGATCTTGACGACAGCTTCCCAGTCCATTCTCTTGCCGTTCATGTCCAGCTCAAAGTCGCGAGGATAAAAGTCGATGATGGGAGAGTCGGGGTTAGTCATGAGGTCATGGTAGACCTTGGGCACAATCTTCTTGCTTCGGTCTGGCAAGACACCCATGAGCTGTTCGTACGGCTTAAACGGCTGACCCTTCTGGAAATTGAAGTCCGCGCCAACACCCTTAGCAACATCTATATCGTGTTAGTCGAGCACCAAAAGAGGCAGCTCATCCTCTATGCTTACCTGAGATGAGAGGCGCATAGTGGTATCCGTAGAACCAGGGCCACGAGGCAATTCCGCGGTAGTAGTAGTACAAGACCCATTGCAGACCTTGCACGTAGTTCTCGCACAGGGCGATAAGCTCCTTGTCGTACTTTTCAGGAGCCCACTCTTCAAACTTCTGAAGGTAATACTTGGTCTTCCAGCCTTGGTACTTGTCTTGGTAGAGTTTCTCGTACTGCTTTTCAGCATCCTCAGGGGTCATGTCAACCACCAGGGCCTTGTCGTACGTCTTCATGACTCGGTAGGCTGCCAAATTGCCTTCTTCCTCCTCCTCTTCGTCGTCATCGTCAATCTTAGGAGGGAAGGACACGATGAGATGACGATGGCCCTCGTCATCCTCCTTGGTAGACCATTGGAGGTGCATAGAGTCTGCCAAATCCTGGACGAACTTACGGTCAGCAGCCTTAAGGCTGGTGCCAAGATCCAGAGGCTCATCGGAGCGCTTAGAGATGTAGGGCCGGATCTGTTGCTTCCAAAGATCCCGTTGCGCAGAGGTGATGACAATCTGCCCTCCCTTGGGAGGTTTGCGCCCAGAAGCACCCTTGTTTCCAGCGTCCTTTTCTATCTGTTTCGCAGCAAACCACTTTTCATCCGAAACATCGTTCTCGAAGTTATCGATCTCGGTTTTCGACAGCTCGCCAAGCAGGAGCTGTAGACGCTCCAAGTTGATGACTCCATTCTCGTTGATGTATCCATCACCCTTGGGTAGGATGGTCTTGTAGATCCTGAACATGTTTGCCAATGCTCCCTCGTTGATGTGTAGCCCGGGCAGGTTAGGCAAGAAATCGTTGCCGACAAAAAAGGCCATGAGAATGAAGTCGTCAATGACTCTTTCGAGGTCGAATGGGAAACTGAGAGTGCCTTCTTCTTGAAGTTCCTGGAACTCCATCTCCAGATACTCTCGAACAATGCAAAGATGGAGCAAATAAAAGTTCTGATGCTCAAGTTCTTTGGACTTGTTCTTTGAATCACGTCCAAATGTCACCTCCTCTCGAAGAAGGCAGAAATGGGGATCATGGCTGAGAAGACCCAGCATGATCAGATCGGCATCGAGGCCGTAAAGACAATGTCGCACATTGGGGTTGTAGTTGGGCTGGGCCTTGGCATTTCGGATGTACTCCATGATCTTGTGTTCTCCTTCACCAGGGACCTCGTGGCCGGAAAGCACAATCTCGCAACCCTGCCAATCAGTATCCTCAGATACCTTCTTGTTGACAAAGTATCGCAGCTGCTGTGATAGCTTGGCCATGAATTCAGTGCCTATAGTCTGTTAGAACGTGGAATTATTACTACAAGAGTTGCCATACCAGGGGTGATGCAGTTGCTGTCAAAGGGTTCCTCCTTGGGCAACTCGATGCCTTCGCGAATGGCCTTGTCACGGGCCTTTTCGGCATCGAGAGCCGTTCGGAAACGTCGAGCACGCTGCTGGTTCATCTTGGCTCGCGGGGCGACACCGTCGATAGCCATGAAGAAGAGTTGCTTGGGCTTGATCTTGCCAAACAGATGTTCAATGTAGTTGAATATGCGGATGAACATTTCCTCCTCGCTGAGGCGAAAGGATACGTCTTCACCTGCATCCTTGTGGGTACAGTTATGAATGATACCATTCATATCCAGCTAAACCGCGGTTAGCATATAGCGCGACGAGGGTGTATCAGGATCTCGAACGTAGAGGCAGTCGAACTCGGGTATTCGGTTCTCTGCGATGAGTTGAGAGATTGCGGGATAGCGCTCAGAGAGCCATCTGAAGAACTTGGGGACACTGCGACCAGGAAGAATTCGAGTTAGCCATTGAAGCTATGGAGAAATGGCAAAGCCAGAAGAGGGACATACCCCATTGCGACGGGTTAGTAGGCGATTCTCAGCCCACGACAAAGTTCAGCAAGGCGAAAAAGTGATATGAAATTGGAGTCGGGCTCCAAGTCGCTCGTACAAGTTGAGCGCAAAACGGTGAAAATCCTGTCGCAAGCGAAGATGGAAGACAAATATGGTGATCCGACACGACGCCTGACAAGATGGAACAAGAAAGAACCAAGAGATCCAGAATCAAGCGCAGAGAGAGAGAACCGAAGAAGACTTCCTCTACAACGCCCGAAGGGAAATGAAAGATATGACGGAACCAAGAGGGTCGGTGATTGCGGCGAGTCGGGAGGTGAGGTTTAAAGGGAGAAAGGTTAAGGTCGCGACGATGCGTGTTGTCGTGACGATGTAGTCCAGCAGTCATGGAATCGGGCTGGGGCTTTGCTACCGTAGCAAAGGTGGGGCTTTCATCCATCCCACACAAGGCGGCGGATTGCCTCGTCGCTGATGGAGGGGCTCTTGCCGGCGTGAGTCAATCCGGAGGCCGACAAGCTATGATGCACCTCAGAGGTACATGCCAGCTAGGCAATAAGGAGCCTACTCATTGGTAGCGCACAAGTACACTGCCCCAATGCCCGCCTATAACTGGGATCAGCACCTGGAACACGCGCTAAAGTCGCAAAAAAACTGAGCCACATTCCATTCCAGTGAATGTGGCTAGTGCTCGCTTTCACTGGCCGCCTTCCGCTGTCACTTTACGCGACTACATACGCGTTTAACCACGACCGCTCCGTACTTTTCAGCCTTCTTTGTGCGACGGCCTCACTCTTCATCTTCAACTACTTGCATCTTTGCGCCAACGCTTGTTTTCGTCACTTTCTAGTAGACCGTGAAGCAAGAACCTTATTATTTCCATCCATCTCGTCTACGAGCATTTCTTTTATCACTTCGAGAAAAGAAAGCCCGTCATGGCGCCCGCTCAATCGACGGAGCGCGATGTGGACAGTAAGTTGCGGACAGCCTTGCATCCACCATGTCCACCTTGGATGGATCTCAATCGCAAAAGGATGGCGCGCTCACAAAACAATAGTCGAGATGACACACGAGGAGGAAGATGATCAGGGAGAGCGCCTGATTAACGAAGGTATGCATGCTAGTGAACATCCAGCCACATTGACCAGGTACTGACACAGGTCGCAGAGTACAAGACATGGAAGAAGAACAGCCCTTTTCTCTATGACATGATTCTTGGGCAAGTCGCCTCATCCTATTCATCATTTAACCACCATCTAATATGACCATCGCAATAGAACTGCCCTCACCTGGCCAACCCTGACAGTTCAGTGGTTCCCTGATGTCAAGGAGCCTGAGGGCAAGAACTACCGAATGCACCGCCTTCTGCTCGGCACTCACACATCGGATGAGAGCCCCAACTTCGTCCAGATTGCTGATGTCCAGATCCCCAAGGCTGTGACACCTAACCCCAGCGACTACGACGAGGACCGTGGCGAGATTGGTGGCTACGGAAAGTCGGGCAATGTCGCCGCCATCAAGTGTGACATTGTCCAGAAGATCGAGCATCCCGGAGAAGTGAACAAGGCTCGCTTCCAACCTCAGAACCCCGACATCATTGCTACTCTCTGCGTTGATGGCAAGATTCTGATCTTTGACCGAACGAAACACCCTCTCCAGCCTACCTCTCTTGGCAAGATCAACGCTCAAATTGAGCTTGTTGGCCACAAGGCCGAGGGTTTCGGTCTCAACTGGAACCCCCATGAGGCGGGCCGCCTCGCCTCAGGTAGCGAGGATACTACCATGTGCCTCTGGTTAGTTCTATCTGCCATTCATGCCTATGCTATTAGCTAACATGAGAAGGGACCTCAACACCCTCAAGGCCGACTCCAGAATTCTGAACCCCGCCCGCAAGTACACTCATCACAGCCAGATTGTCAATGACGTTCAGTACCACCCCATCTCCAAGAACTTTATCGGTTCAGTTTCGGATGATCAAACGCTCCAGATCGTCGATGTCCGACACAGTGAGACCGCCAAGGCCGCTGTGGTGGCTCGCAACGGCCATCTGGATGCAGTCAACGCGCTGGCATTCAATCCTAACTCGGAGGTTCTTGTCGCTACCGCGTCGGCAGACAAGACGATCGGTATCTGGGATCTCCGAAATGTCAAGGAGAAGGTTCACACTCTGGAGGGCCACAACGACGCTGTCACATCTCTGGCCTGGCATCCTACTGAGGCTGGTATCTTGGGAAGTGCCAGCTACGACCGGAGAATCATTTTCTGGGATCTCTCTCAAGTGGGCGAAGAGCAGCTTCCCGACGACCAAGACGATGGCCCCCCTGAATTGTAAGCTTGACCCCTGAACAGCGATTGCTGTACTACGTCTAACAGAGTCTACAGGCTTTTCATGCACGGCGGCCACACGAACCATCTTGCCGACTTTAGCTGGAACCCTAACGAGCCGTGGCTCGTAGCAAGCGCCGCGGAGGACAATCTGCTGCAGATTTGGAAGGTTGCCGAGTCGATTGTTGGTAAGGACGACGGCGACCTGCCTGTCGATGAGCTCGACCGATAGGTGAGGTGGAGGTTCGTGGAGAAGTTCCGGTCTTCATAGGATGAGGAGACGCAGCAGCTCTGGGAGCGATGGCAACAGAGGTCTGATTTGCCATCGACGCTGAAGCGTGAAATATCCTAGAATGAGATGCGGAAGCGCTTGGAAGGGTTTGTGTCCCAGAGACTATCTACAGTAATGGTCAATCAAGTTTATGTAAATTGTGCTCAGCCTGTGCAATCTTGGATGCGTAATACGTGTTATTCCTTCGCAAGTGCGAGGAAATGTGAGGACTGGCGAGGCACTGTCAGGCAGCTGGCAAGTCATGCACGAAGTTTTCTGTTGACGGGGCAATTCTGCAGCGCCCCAGCATTCTATTCAGGGTTATCTACCCCGTTCGCTTGCTATTGTTCTGTTGATTGTTCTCATTGTCCCCGTTTGTCAATAACAAACGCAGTCCACGTCGAGGCCAAAGGCCAAACCTCGACTTCACCTCCCGCTTCCTGCTCTCTTCCTTTCCATCTCAACACCAAACCACAAAACATCAGGCCGCACGAAAACATTCACTGTCACCGATCAAGCTTTGTCGATATTTCGACGGCTTGATCGATCAGTAATACGCGATCGCTGCCGACATTATCATCCCTTCAAACATCATCCCCTCCCCTACCTTGCCCAGACACTCGACTTTTCATCCTCGCCATGGCGCCTAACCGGCATCCCAACCCGCCTCGTCGTGGGAATCGAGTCCCGACCAATCCTTCTGCGTTAGCCACAAACCAAGCTCCTGCCCCGGGTGCCGCCCGTACTCAGATGCAGCCAGCTCAGAATGGCCAGCCTGTTGCTCAGCCCCAATTTGCCTTTCAATCTCAGGTCCCTGCCCAAGGTCAGGCTCAAGGTCAGCAGTCTGTTCACGGCCAGCAGCAAAACCATGGCCAGTTCCAGTTCCAGGCGCAGCAGCAAGCTCCTCAGTTCCAGACCCAGGGTCAACCTCAAGTCCCTTTCCAGACTCAGGCCTTCGGGCAGCCCCGACTCCAAGGACAGCAGCAGCAGGGCTTTGGTCAGCAACAAGGTTTCGGGCAACAGCAACAGCAAGCCCCTTCTCAGTTTGGTCAACCCCAATTCCAGGCCCAACAGCAAGCTCCTTTTCAGTTCCAGCCTCACGCTCCCCAGAACCAAGTTCAAGGTCAGGCTAGTCTCGGTCAAACCCAGTCTCAGGGACAACAGCAAAATCCCTTTCAGTTCCGACCTCAGGTTCAGGCTCAGCAGCGTCAGACCCAGAACCAGAACCATACCCAGAATCAACAAGTGAATGGTCAACCTCATCAGAACCATGGTCAGCATCAGAGTCTCGCCCAGCAGCGCCAGTCCCAGCTCCAGAATCAGGGCCAACGCCAAGTCACTTCCCAGCAGCAGAACCTTGGCCAACTCCAGGCTCTCGGCCGGCCTCAGGCTGGCCTTGGCCAAAGCCAGCCCCAGGGCCTACAGCAAAACCCATTCCAGTTCCAACCTCAGGGTCAGGCCCAGCAACGTCAAGCCCAGCCTCAGAACCAGAGTCTTCTCAACGGTGCTACCCAGCAGCAGAATCATGCCCAGCATCAACAAGCCAATGGTCGACCTCAGCAGAACCTTGGTCAACAGCAACTCCAGCGTCAACTCCTGCAGCGCCAACTACAGCAGCGTCAGGCCCAGGCCCAGGCCCAGAATCAGGGTCAGGGTCAGGGTCAACTCCAAGGTGCTAACCAACAGCAGAACCTTCAGGGCTTTGGACAAGTCCAGCCCCAGGGTTTACAGCAAAACCCTTTCCAGTTCCAACCTCAAGGCCAGATCCTGCAACGCCAGGTCCAACCCCAGAATCAGGGTCAACTCCAAGGTGCTGCTACCCAGCAACAGGGCTTCGGTCAACAGCAGAGCCATGCTCAACACCAGGGTCTTGCTCAACCACAGTTCCAGGCTCAACAACGAAACCCTGGCTATTTCCAGATGATGGGCCAACAGCAGGCTCTCCTCCAGTTCCAAGGTCAGCCTCAGCTTCCGCCTCCAGCTGGTTTCTTCATACCCAACGCTCCCCTCCAGTTCGGCGCTCCTGCACCAACCCCTATCCCTCTCTGGATCCAGCCTCCTCAACAACAACAACAGCAGCAAGTTCCTCTCCAGGGATACGGCCAGCCGGGTGAGGAACCAGTTGGAGTCAGACAGTTCAATCAGGGGGTGACCGAGCGCCAAGGTCGGACTCAGGACGAACTCGATGCTCTTGGCATCGACGGCACCGAATTTGTGGAAAATCTCGACGACGCAGATATCGAAGGCGGTGATGAGGCCGTCCAGGATGATCAAGACCAGGAAGAGGCTGAGGAGAGTGAAGATGAGGAAATGCAAGATGCAGGCATGCGAGATGCGGGCACGCAAGTTGAGAACATGCCAAACGGTCAGCAGCAGCAACGCCAGCAAGTTCAAGTCGTGCGACACGTCCCATACGTGGAAGACCCCCACATGTATGATGCTGTCATATACGAAGACGCCTGGGACTCCGAGAGCGACAGGGAACCCGACGTGGAGGTCGAGACTCGGAAGATCAACAGTGCCACCAAGCAGAGATACAAGTTTACCAAAGCCTTCCTTGAGGAGCACTTCAACGGAAAGGATCCTTACGAAACGGAGAAGAAGGAGATCATTGCCATTCCTCCCATGAAGAGCGGTATGGACCTAGTCACGGCTCTCTGCAAGAACCTCGAGCTGGCCATCGAATTGGGCAAGCATCTTCGTGGCGAGGATATCCTCAACCTCTACATTGCCTGCCGTGGCTTCCGTGAGGCCTTGGATGGCCACATGCTCTCCTCCATCCGAGAATGGATCAGAAGCAGAGCCCCCGAGGCTGGTAGGCTGTTCCCCTGGCGAAGTGTTGCAAAGTTCCTCGTTCCAGACCCCGCCAAGCGCTCCAGCTCCGATACCGACAAGACTCCAGGAGGGGTCCGCCTCATCCCCGGTATGAAGTATCTCCAGATGATACTTGGCCGGGACCGATACTGCCGTCAGATTCTCGCAGTCATGGCTCGTATGGGCCTTCGAGTCCCCGACACGATGCACACCACTCTGCTGCGCATCTGGCACCTCCTTGAGGTCGCCACCTGCTCTCAGAGATCCCAGCTGATGGCTGACACCAAGATATGGACCGATCAGCACCTCTACAACGCTCAGTTCTTCTTCGTCAAGCTGACCATGGCCTTCAACCACCCCTTCTTCAGACCCCACTCCCACGAGATGCTCCATCTCATGATGGGCCAGCGCGGCCTGTACCCCCTGTGGCAGTGTCTCACTCGCAAGAAGTTCAGAACCATTTCCGAGATCGTAGAGCTCAAGGCCCGCTACGATATGAACCTCCCTCCCCCGGCGTGGTTCAATCCTGCCCGCCATTTCATGACCAACTTTCATGGAGTCCCCTTCCGCGAGCTTGGCGTGGTTCACTGCGAGGGCTGGGGAGCAGGCACTCGCCATCTGCTTCGCCCAGATGAGTTAGTCGTTACTGAATCCATCAACCGTTCGCTTGATCTTGACAAACACTTGAATCACATGCTCGTCTGGGGCTACATTGATTTCAAGACCGGAGAGAACCTTGTCCCCACCGAGGAGGAGATGTACATGTCTGACGAGGAAGAGGTTCTTGAAGATGTTGACACCACGTGCTGGTGGCAGAAGAGGCACGCCCTAAAGAAGCGATGGACAGAGTTGACCCCTGAGCAGCGACAAGAGATCGAGGAGGATGAAGAGGACGAGCGCCTACGTGCCATGGCCTGGTCTACGCAATACGACCCAGATGAGAGAAACGACCGCCACGCGAGTAAATGGGACTCTGAGAGCGAAGACGAGTCCGATCAAGAGTACGACCCCAACGTCGAGATCAACCGCGGCTACCGCATGCAGGCCCTCCCCAAGGACCAACCCTCGCAGGTCCCCGCCCTCGACGACAAAGACGCCTGGCGTAGTCTCTGCTCCGAATTCCTCCTGACGACGCAGGTCGAAGTGAGCGATGAAGCGTTCGCAAAGGCCACTGAGTGGCTCAAGTTCTCCAAGGCCAACATGGTCACCCCCTTTGACCGGGATCGCTACGACATAGGTGATCCCTTTATGCGGAGCCGGGTCGACTGGAAGCCGCCTCCCGATCGTTATGTAAGGCCGTCGTCTGAGGATGAAGATGATGGCGATGACGAAATGGAGGAGGATGGTGACGAAGGCGGCGAAGAAGAAGGTGACGAAGAAGATGAAGAAAGTGAGGATGAAGAGGACTATGAGGACTATTATGATGAGGATGATGAGATGCAGGAATGAGAGGCCAGCAACGACAGATCTCTACCCGGGAAAGGAGATTTCTCATGAGTGGGGAGGATAATGGGAGATTTTGACAAGACACCGGGATATTTGACACCGGGACAGGCTGGCACCACTCGAGAGACTTCAGAGTGGGATTTTGAGGCCACATTTCGTTGCCATTCGTCTTGATGAAACTTGAGGGTTCACGACAGTGAGTAGCCCAGCTTCACACCAGAGACAGCCAGAGACATGATCAAGCTACTATGGATTTTTGGAGGCTCTAGGGATGGGTAATAGGAGCCATGTATCACATACTGTATGACAGAATCACATAGAAAATGAACCAAGATTAGTTGGTCTTAAACTTGCCTCTCATCGTTTGACTGCCTGGTTACATATATAGTAGCAATCTCTTTGCTGGGCCTTTTCCCCCCTTCACCATCAACAATGAACATGCAGTCTACCCAGTTCACCGATCCTGTATAGCCCCTACGCCCAGCCAGATCTTGTCAGCAAAATCGTACAAAAAGCCAGAACACAAGGAAGCACCTCTTGGACACTCGAGACAAACACGAGAGACTGAGATCAACACCTCTCAAGATTGTCCATCGAGAACGAAATGGGGGATAAAACAACAGACATTAAAACAAGGACGGCTCTCATCCTTCCTATCCTATTCCATCTCGACCAGAGTTTCTTTGCCAAACAGTCTTCTTCATCTTTACCCTCCCTCCCCTGAGTTGGTGGTATCATGCCAGGAGAAAAACATCATCAACATCAAGTGAAACCCCCCTATTCTCTTGCATATATTCCCTAGTAGGACCACTCAAGAATGAACAGGGGAACCAAAACATCAGAAGAGAGAGAGAGAGAGAGGAGAACAGAGGCAAGAGAGACAGATTAAACGAGAACCACCAGCACCACCACCCCGGAACCCCTCCCTCCTTTCCCTAGCAGCAAACAACAAAGATATAGCCAGCCTCTGTGAGATGATATATGTTTTTTTTTCCCTTTTTTGACACACCCCGACTCCTCCATGTCCGCCGCCCCTTAATATGTTTTCCTCCCTTTGGTAGTAGTTCCATGGCCGCTCCGTTTCCAGCTCCCCAGCTCCTGCGCGTCCCAGGTGAAAATGAGATGAAATGAATAAACAGGTAGATGAAGAAATAGAGAGAAACAAGATGTAAGATGGGTTGATGTTGTTTATGCGAGGTGAAGTGATGAAAGATGAACAAGGGGGGGGTTGAAATCAAACTTGTGTGTGTGTGTGTGTGTGTGAATAATGAAGGACAAAGCATAATAAACAGATAGACAGACAGATAGACAAACATGAAGAGTGAAAATAGGGGCAGGGATGACAACAGAGAAAAGCAGCTTGTCGGGCAACAACCAAGCTAACACCGGCGAACTGGATATTTGAGTCACACAGAAAAGCCAAGATATACCCTTACACTCCCCTGCGCTATGCACCCAACCCCCCGAACCCATTTTCCAGCAATGCCGCCGCCTCCGTCCCGTAAAGACCCCGGGGAATCAGATCAAGTAGTCTGTCGATCCATGGCCCTCTCCTTCTCTCGTCACATCACTCTCGTTCCCTCCCAAGAACTAAGTGACAGACTCGAGAGACAAAGAAGCCTCGACGACGACGACAACTCTGCCGCCCCCTGGGCTTATCAAAAATGAAACAGGCCGTGGCCCCCAGCAAGTAATAGCCCGTACCGAATAGACTCGTCCCTCAACACCAAGCAGCACAGAAAGCCCCTGGCATCGGCGAGGTACTCAAGTCACTTTTGTCTTCCAACCTTTCGAAATTTTGTAACACGTCCCGCCTTGAATCAAGTAGTATCCGACACTCCGTCCTGGTCTTCCGAAACCAATACACACACCGTACCGCCTTTCCTTTGAGAGAACAACCAAGTCCAGAAGGTATTTGCCAAGGTCAAATGCTCTATGTTCATCATTCAAAGTCGTTTTTGCGCAAAAAAAAAGTGACACGGAACCGTCCGCCACCGGTTATCTTCCTCGCTTTGCTGCTGATGGATAGATGCCTGCCTGGCGGAGGCCCAACGAGAACGTGTACACAACGGCCCGGCTAAAGCAGCTTGTACTGCTTAAGCGGGCGACTTGTTGGGAGGCGCCGAGCCACCGTTCTGGCGAGCATCTCCACCGCTGACAGACAGACCACCGATGCCGCTCGACAGGAACGCAAAGGGGTCGTTCTCGTTGCTACCGCCGCTGTTGTTGGCGTTGTTGTTATAGAAGTTGTTGGACGGTCCGGCAGACGCGGGGCCGTTGGTGGCCGACTGGAAAGCAGCCTCAGCAGCTCTGCTATCAAAGGGGCCGGCCGAGTGGGAACCAGGGCCGGAGCCGAAGCCGTGTGTGTTCAGAGAGCTTGGGTAAGCCGCCGCACCACCACCGATGCCGGAGGGAAGATAGTGGCTGGGAGGGCCACCAAAGTGCTGGTTGTAACCACCGCCAGAGCCGAACGAGCTGCCAGAAGCGAAAGGTCCAGGTCCGGGAGCACCGCCCATGGCGCCCTGGTTCATGCCGTACTGTGAAGCATTGTCCATCGGAGAAGGGTAACCAGAGTCGGCAACGACAGCAGCACCCGCGCGGCTGGCACCGCAACGCAGACAACAGACGTTCTTGGCGAAGTTGTGGTAGCCACATACCTCATTGCCGCACTTCCAATCACCGGCACGGAATGGCACAACACCGCTACCACCCATGCGTCCGCCACCGTGGCCCATGGGACCGTGGTGACCGCCGTGGGGAGGAGGAGGCATCATAGCAGGGGGGCCGTAACCGTATCCTCCGTAGTTGCCACCACCCATATCGTTCGAGGGGCCGGCGCCGACAGCGGGGAACGAGCATCGGAAGCAGGCGGTTCGGCGCTGGAAGTTGGAGAAGCCGCAAGAGGGACAGGTCCAGTCACCGGGTCGAGGGCGGTTCTTACTGGGAGGGAAGGGAGTCAGGATATCCTGAGCGCGGTCGAGGACACGGCTGGACGAGGGCGAGACTTCAATGGCCTTCTCATTAAGGGCACGGCCATTCATGCAAAGGCTCTCGGCAGCCTGTGATTGATTAGCATCGACACATTGTAAATCTTTGCGTGTGGCCACGCAGTGGAACCACCCCAACAAAGGGCGTCTCAGTCAACTCACCTCCTCATGGGAAGAAAAGACAGCAAAGCCGGTACCGGTGGGCTTGTGCTGCTCGGGAGTTCGAAGGGTCCAGAAGGCGATGGGCCGGCCACCAAACTGGGTGAACCAGCTCTCAAGCTCCGACTGAGTGGTGTCGTGGGGAAGACCCGACATGTGAAGAACCTTGCTCCTCTCTGAGAGGAAGGCTCGGACGTCAGCTCGGGCATCCATAGGTCGTGTCAGCACATCGGGGTGTTCCTGGGGAGGCTGTGACTTTCTGATCAAGCCCCGGAGGACACGGGCGAGGGTAATAGCCTCCTCCATCGCACGCCGAGGCGAAGCTGGGGCAAGCGCCTGCAGGTGGAAGGGGAGGTTGTGCTTGATGGGAGCGCTCGACTGAACGGGCTCGACCTCGAGAGCGGCGCAGATGTTGGAGAGCATTGATGGTCCGAAAGGCAGGGACTCGGGATGGTGCTGCTGCCAGCGCTGGTACTCAGTGCGGAGGTCGAAGGTTCGCGAGTGCTGGAGGTAAGGAGGCAGCACAACGGCCTTGTCGCGGGCTTCGCGAGGAAGCTGGACACGGAGGTCCCATGCATCGAGTGTGACAAAGACGAAGTCGAGGTTCTTGGAGGTCAAGTACTCGGTAGCGAATGTGTCGAATCGGGTGATAGCGTCTCTAAAGGTACCAGCGTTTCGAACATGCTCCCAAGTCAAAGTGGTCAGGCTCGCTGTAGAATATGTGTTAGCCCAAGCATTCTATCATTGACCGACCCCAGACGCCAACAGCGGGAAATTTTGGTAGTAGTCGGGCGCGTGGTTGGCGGAGCCAGACAGCGTGGAGCAAATCGAGATGGAGATGTCCGGGGCAGTAGCGTCAGAAAACTTACTGCAGAGAGGAGTGATGGGAGTGTTGACTGGCTTGACGAGGACACTCTCGTGGGTGATCTGGCAGGTTCAAGACTGGGTCAGCAATCCATCGGTCACGGGCTGCACCTCTGGTCGGATGTGTATCTGGACAGATGGCAGAGCGGGCAGGATGTGCTACTCACCTCCTCGAGCGAGTTTGCGTCGAGCAAGATCCAACCAAGCTCAATCACCTCGGCCGAGTCCTTTGTCACATAAACGCCGTGCTCGTCACAGGTGGTCGCAACATGGATCACGACATAGCGATCGATGTTGAGTTGGGGCAGCTGTTGCGAAGACATGGCTGCGGCGGGATCGGTCGGACGAGGACCGACGACGATGCAGAGAAGGAGGAAAAGAGTGTTTGCGAGCGACGCGGAGGCGCAGCGGAGGACGACGACGGAAAGGTATCGCGGGTATAACGTATGTAGACTCGCCGTAGACGACAAGAATCGGCGTCGTATAATATGAAGGTGCAACTAACTAGCCCGTGGCCCGGCCAGGTCGCGATGATGGAGGTGGAAGAAGAGGTAACGGGGAGGTTTGAAGTTGCGGGAATCGGATGTGGCCAGTGAAGCTTCAGGGGGTCGTGCCAGCACGAAAAGGGCCTCAGGCGGTAGGCAGGTACTTGCAGTTAGGTCGACTCTAGGAAGGGGGTACATGCCACCAAAGTACCTGTATTTAGTGGGGAAAGACGAGACAGGTCAGGTCGGGCTGTCAGCACACGCTCCAGATCATGTCAGTTATCTGAGGGAGAAGAAGAAAAAGGTATTGAGGGTGCGAGAGAGTGTCAATGCAGCGTTATTAGTAAATTGACATGAATATCGGGTGACTACAGCTACCAAAGAAACATTTGAAACTTTAGAGTGCGAGACAAATGGCAAGAAACAAGGTGACATGTTGGTCTTTGTCACTGCTACCTCTCAAACGTTTCCCCGAAGCTTGCCCAGGGAGCAAGCACTCCAGAATGGAGCCCACCCGGTGAAGGTCACCCTCCTCCCCTGCCCGGGGCCGAGCTGATGCCACCAGGTAGGTAGGTAGGCGTAGGCAGTTACAGTGGTTACAGTGAGTGGGCTGCAGGGGGCTACGCAACAGCTGCGTACCCGTACCTGTGCCTATCTGCCTGCGTGGGCGGGCGAGCTGTCAGGGAGGTTGCCGTCCCGTCCTCTCGCTAGAAGGATGCCGGCACGGGTTGAAAAACGTCTAGAAACCCCGGAGGCTCGAGTCCCCTGAACTCTCCGAGGACCTCATAGAACTCAATGCGGTCCTTACTAGGTTTTCGGTGGAGGCAATCCGGCGGATGCGGAGTCGGGGCTGTTGGATTGAATTTACGGGGAGCGTCGACGCTCGTTCACGAAGGTACATGCAGCGGCGAGGCGAAATAGGCCAGGTTGCGTCCCCTGAAAGTGTCTTTGAACAAAGGCTTCAAGGGTAGGTGTTGGAGGTCGACGGATAAGCTGCGAAACCGTTGTCGTAGCTTTTACGCGTGGTCAACGGCTGAGCCCATCAGCAGCCGGCATCATTGTGGAAAGCCCACTACCACAATAAGATATTCAGTGATGGATGATTCAGGTCAAGGCTTGCCTATTTTGTACATCCTATGCCTGAATACTTCCCCTTCTGGCTGACGCGAAGACAAGTCTTAATGTAAATAACTTTTGAGGCGTACTCTGAAGCAGCTTCATCCAGGTTGTCCTTCCTCCCGAAGCCTCCGGGCTCATCAACCACCACCCTTAAATAATTCAACAACTCGACGTATCCGTACTTTTTGCTGAGATTCGTCACACCAATACTTACCTCCTCTTGTACTCCATCCATCCTCTTCCCCCTCCGTCAGTAGCCAGCCCGTATCTAAGCACGCGCGCGCATCCATCTACCCTCGGCCAAGACAAATAACCCTGCTGCCGGTACTCCACGCTGAACAGCAGTCCCCAACTTATCATCTCGGCCGTTCTACGCAGTACCTAGCAGCAGGGCGAGCGTGCGCCTGTTTTACCCGGTTCATTCACACGACAATGACTATGACATTACCAATCACGACGCCGTCAAGCTTGTGCAGGCCCTAGAGAATGCACCTTCACAAACATGACAACTCTCTCTTTCGATAGTCACCAACTGCCAAAGTCGGTAATACAGTACGACTTTGTCGAGTCAGTCAAGGGCAGGTCAGGATTAATAACGGAGGCTGAGGTTTGAGTCGGCCGTACTGCGATACAGTAGTGATTGACGGAAGATACTGTCCCACCATTCCAGCAGCAAGCAACAGAAGAGGATGGGATGGATGGAACGAGGGGTGCAGCAGAGCAGTGGCAGCCTCGTTCATCCCGACCTCCATGTCAAGTTCCAGTGTCTATCAATGGCTTCATTCAGCTTCAGGTGCACCTGATGATTCCCAGAGAGGGGCCATCTCCCTGCCTCCCACGTGCGAGACCTCATCTCTCCAGACTCTCAGTCATCCCTTGCGTTGCCAGCTGGGGCCTCTGAGACTGAAAAAGATAAACCGCCAGACAACAGAGCAAGTCATCTATGATGAGGCAGGATGACCTTGCATACAAAGTCCCACCCGCGCGCGGAGACTCGACTTGCCGACTTGGGCGAGGCGTCATCTCGCTCCAACAGCAATCAGTCCACTATGATGTCGGCCCCCTCACTTTTGCTGTGCCCTCTGTTATTCCATCGCTGCTGTTATTGAACGACGGGTTAACGGGGATATCTCATCCAGCTCATTATGAGCATGATTATTGTGAGCTGAAGCTGGGCCACCTCTGCGCTGTCCTCCCTACCTGGTGGTATATTTTGCTCCGTCAAAACATCACCGTCAGTGCTACTCAAGGATGGATCTCCGGGTAAAAGAAGCCCCTCGAATAGTCAACGCCGAACGGCTCTACGGACCTACATGTTCCGTGAGAGCTCAGGGGTTCCAATCCAGACTCGCGATTGAATTTCCCGAGGCGAGGACCAACAGCCAAGCCCATTACTCAGAACCAGCCTCTTCGGGTTTTGCAGGCTCGAAGTTCTCCGTGGAAGTGACCGAGAAGCAATGCAGGCAGCCGATCAGTGACTATGCCTTGCCTTGCCTTGCCTCGCCTTGGCGTACTACAGGGCACACTGTACAGCATCAAGTAGCAGCAACAGCTTCAGCCGCAGTGCAATAACATGAACACGTTGGACTACGCTCACGAACCTCCTAGCCAGCCTCGTCGTCCCACGAAGTTGTCGTACTAACGGTCATTAGCCGCTCACCTCGAGATCAGCACCGCTCGAGCCCGTAGCACTTCGGGGCTCACCTGTGTTCAGGGCACATCCCTCCTCGGATCCCCAGGTGCGACAGCCCGCTGGCAAAGCTTCCCGGGGTTCCGTCCGTTGCTGGCGCGGAAGCGGAAGGGACGTCACCCCGTCCAACGGCTTGGAACCACATATCCTTGTTAGCACAAGCACGTCTTTATTACATTGCGCAACGCCTGGCTCTACCTCGAGGAAGTTATCTCTCGTCCCGGGAGGCAGCCAGTGAGACCGGATTGCTTGGCGCCAACCCGGAGCAGCGGCACTCGGTGCTTTGACCGACCACAGGCCGCATCTTGGACGGCCGTCTCGGCAACCGTGATTTCTCCTGCCTTTCACAACTGTGGCCAAACCAGGCAAGCATATTGCTTTGGCCTAGTGCAGGATATTTCTAGCCTAAGTCCTCTGTGCTAGAAGGGTTAATAGAGGACAACAGGCAAACTGATCAGCCAATTTGGCTCCATTCCCGACTTTGCATGTTCCAGAGACATGCCAACAGCACATGTACGACTTCGGCTAATCACATGCCTACGCAGCAATGCGATTCTCCCATTTCCATCGTTGTTGTAATAGACGTTGATGATATGATCGGGGGTGATGGTGCAGAAGCAGCTGTATCATGAAGCGCTGTGACGCTCAAAGTCGCACTGCATACAGAGGCCCTGCTAACGACACCACGACAGGAACCGCTGTGATTTGAGTGACAGATGGTGCAGGTAGCGGCAGCATCTACTGCTTCGTAGGCGCCCGTAGACTGTTGTCCGAGGACGGGCCTGGGCCTGGGCCTGGGCCTGACCATGAGCGTAGGTTCTGTGTTCTCTGGTGTGTGTCGGGTCGGTGCGATCGGCGTCGAAATATCCGATAGGGTCGATGCTTGGTTGGAGTGGAAAGGACGAGACCGTCAAGGTGATGGATGCCACGGCTGGATTCGCACATGGATTTGTCCATATGCGATAGCCTCGTTCCTATTTTCGGTCCTCGTATTGATATCACTGCCGAATTCCGTTCAATTGCCTCAAATTCGTGATGTTCAACTGTTCTTTATCCGGTTTGGCTTGTGGCAGAAGCACCTGAAAGCGCCTTGTCTACGTCATTGACCGTGCTCCACGTCACAAGCCGGCTTCCTCCAACACCGTCACGTTACTTCCAATTACGCGGCGATGCACACTTCTGCCTGAGGTCGTCTTGAAACATCAAGACTCATTGGGCTTGCCTTGGCTTTTCTCTCTCCTTCATCAAATACCACTCATTATTGACAGCCAGAACGTTCACGCTCGAACAGCCAGTAACTTTATACTCACACTCGCGTCAACTTACACACGACCAAACCGCAATCATGGGTGTCGTCTCAGCCATCTTCCTCGTCCTCATCACCATCCTCTGTATGTTACCCTCCCCTCTGTGATATCTGGGAGTTCTATGGTCACTAACACACCTTCAGTCCCTCCCATCGGTGTCTGGGCCGTTGCAGGATGTGGAATGGGTAAGCTAACATCCCCCGCCTTGTTCCCCTCCGAATTCCATGCTGACGCGGGGTGTTTCAAGATCTCTTCATCAACATCTGCCTGACACTTCTGGGCTACATACCGGGTCATATCCACGCATTCTACGTTGAGTACGTGTATTACGATCGCCGCGAGCAGGCGCGCGAAGGGCGATTCGCAACTGGACCAGCGCCGGGCGTGTACTCGGATAATGTGCAGACAGGAGGCCAGGGCTACGGCACGATAGCTCATCCTACGGCTTGAAGAAATGCTGAAGGACCGATGCCGTTGGAGACTGTTATGGGGTGGATTTTTTATCGGTTTGTTGATGCGGTGGTTTGCATGATGGGTGAAGGCCTTGCGGACAGTTTTTATATGGATAAATGAGGAAAGCGACAAGACATTTCATACTCTCTCTGCTGCCAAACATCCTGTCTTACTTGCTTGCCATGCTGTTCCTGCTTTGGCTCATGGTAGTGTGCATTGACACTAGCAACGGCGGCGCTATTACTTGCTTCAGCTTGATGAGTTGTCAGTTGTCCCAACCGGCGACGTGCAGCATAGCAGAACGGACTATTGAAGTTAATGGGTTTTATAAGCAGGTGATCTGTATCCGATGAGCCGGCTTACGGGTGCTTACCGTAGTATTCGGGCAGGGTTATCTGGTAATGGCAAAGCAGCATCTGGACAGCGCCCTGTCCCTCACGGTGGCCGTATTCTGTGAGCGGGGCTCCCATCGATATGCACGATCATGCCGTGTCGATGTTGATTACTCCCCCAAGGTGACGAATACACCTGGTGAGGAGGCGGTGGGAGGACAGTCATGTTGAAAGCCCCAATCATTGCCAGTCGAACAACACACATCGACAGCCCCGCGTAGGCAGACACCCGGGAAGAGGCAGAAGTGCACGTAGTGTGAATTGCGTCCAAAAGGTGTCCGAGTATGAGCTGTCACCTGTATGTGCTCCGTACATTGCCGACAGTCAAGAATAGATAAGATGGACGATCAGGAACATTCACACCTTCTAATTCCATCTGAGACATGGCTCAATTGACATCCAGGGCAAACATATCCGAGACCAGCAAAAGAGCTGTCAACTGATCGACAAATTTCCCAGGATGTTCAGGGTAGCAAAATGTAGCTACGCCTAGCCCAGCCAATGAGAGGCAACGCGGGGATGGGTGTTAACATTGACCGAGGCGAGCATCGACCCTTTTATCGACAGCCACGACACTCATGCATGTTTCCATGGATGGGCCAATCCAATTCCAATTCCAATCCGATCACCAGAGACTAGAGAGAAGATACGTACCTGAGTCTTGAGGATGGCTTGTGATGCCGGGGCCCAGGCACTGAGACTTTGAGTAGCTTATCGTCACGTGACTCCCCAGACCTTGCGTTATCGGATGCGCATGTCCATCACCAACTCCTCTACATCGAAACTACACGCTCTTCAATCCGGTCAGGGCTCTGTGATCATGGACTCATTTGGGTGATGGCTTTGCCATTCGTTGCAGGTACCTTCAGACTACGACCAGTCTGTCTCTGAAGAACCTGCCGATACACCCTCCCCGTTCTAACCACAAGCAATAACCGCATGCCGTTATACATGTTGTAATCGCCACCGCAAGTGCTCCAGCAACCACCTCGATACGGTTCTGTACCCATCGACTCGGTCAGATGGTCTGAGCCAGTGTTCTGAGTGATGCCTTAAGAGCATCAACAACGCCGAGAAGCAGGGCAAGCGCCAGGTCATTCCTTCGTCTAAGGTCATCGTCAAATTCCTTGAGCTCATGCAGCGCCATGACTATCTCGGAGTTTGAAGAGGTTGATGACCACTGTGGCGGCGAAATTGTCGTCCAACTCAATGGCCGGTTCGTAATCGCCATCCCTAACAGTCTTATGAATCGTCAATTGCTGAGACCTTGCATTTTAGACTGAACAAGTGCGGCGTCATCAGTCCTCGTTTCAACGTGGCTCTGGGAGACCTGGAGAAGTGGGTTGTTCGACTTCTCCCTGCCCGCCAGTTCGGCCATATCGTGCTCACTACTTCCGCGGGCATCATGGATCATGACCAGGCTCGTCGAAAGCATGTCTCGGGCAAGATCCTGGGCTACTTCTACTAGAGGTTCTCACACAGCAGAGCTAGACCCTGGTCACTGAGTGGGGGAGGCTTGGCAAGTGTCACATTGGAGAACTCAAGTTAAGGGACTGTAGAGAACACCTTGGTGAATAAATGACCAACAACAATGCGATTGGGTCAACATGGAGGATTGTTCTTGCAAATTGCTTTCTCCGTATGTCAATACAACACTTGTAAGCTGAGCGTGACTCTTTGCAATCAAACGCCCGGAACGTGAACTATTTTTGTCGTCATGAGTACATCATGTTGAAGCTTGGACATACTGAATGACCTCCAAGCTGGTAAAGCACCAAGACAATTACATTTCAGCAATCAGCATGTCGAGAAATCCAAATCTGCCGAGTACTGTACGTAGGACAGTAATCTCCCATTGCACGCCCCATTATGCCTACTCCATTCCACGATTGTCGTGCTGCGATTGATTGATGCCACATGTTGCTGTCCAGCTGGCAAGGTGCGATTGGCTCGGGCAAAAGAGCAATCCAACCCCCATGCCAATCCGATCCCGATCCACCATCCATGTTTTTTTTGGTTGCCCAGCTTTGATGTGAAAGCGCATCAGCAAAGACGCACAAACGCAAAGGGGCAGAAGAAGGATGAGGAGCTATAGGTACTTCTATCCCGACTCGTTCTTTCTTCCTGTCGTTCCTCCCGTATCTGTGACATTCCGTTCCTATTTTTGCCCCTTCCCCGGCCGGGCAATCTCCACCTCCACTCCTTCCCGTTAGCTTGTCTGCCTCCATCCCATCTCCCCGTGCTTGACTTTACTCTGCCTTACTGTCTAATATCATCTATCACCTGTCAACTCTTGTCCTTCAAACCAACCTACCTACAGGCACCTTGTCGAGACGGGACTACGCCGTACGCAAAAAGAGTGCTAACGCATTATCCTGCCTATCTTTGCTCCCTCTCTTGCATCCTGCATTTGTCGACCCCACCGCGTCGTGGCAACGCATCGCACCGCTTGGCTTCGCTTCGCTTCGTTCGCTCTGCATTGACCGATAACCTAGACAGACAAGGTCAAGATCGCGCTGCATCGTCTTGCCGTATTCGTCTCTGTTTGCTGCACTCACTCGTCAACCTCGTCGACAGCCCAGCCATGTCCTGATTGCCTCTCCCATCAAAATCGTGCACGCCATATTCGCACGTACCAACACAACACATCAAACAACCCCTTTACTGCCCTATCTCTTCAGCCGGCCTACCCCCGGATACCATACCTTGCATGTCCTAGACCGACTGTCGACCACGACTATCCCCAACGGCTCACCACTCCCACCACTCGGCGGCCACCATCACCGCCCTGGACTCGCGTCGACCTCCATACTACACCTTGACGTGTTGAGCTGCTGCTTCTGCTGCCGCCGCCGCTACTTTCAATGCTCCATTGACCCACGCCTGGGGTGTCACTCGTGCTTGATCAAGCCCATCGCCTCTACCTATCGCCGCCGAGGTACACATCTACGACAACGCACACAACACATTCTTGCATAATATATATACCTCCACTCGGCGGCACCCTGATTCGGAGACTTCACCATGCTGTCTTCCACCCTTCAGCCGCCCTCACAACCTTCTCGACCCCCTCAGTCCTCTCGCCATCACGCCGCCGCCTCCACCTCGTCCACCCCAGCCCTCGGCAAATCTCGTCGGCACTCTCTCCCATTTTCCTTCCCGCCTCTCTTTCAGTCCAACACATCGTCGACGAGCCTGGTGCCTTCGACCGCCGAGGGCAAGCCTATACCTGTCGACGACTCTACCGCCGAGCACCGAACAACCGCTCTCCGCGAGCTCAACTCAAACTTTCCCAGCCGCCACCGATACGCAAAGTCAACAGGCGCCCAGAGCAGCACCTACTCCCAGCCTGTGATAGTCCGAAGCTACTACGCTCCCGTACCGACCCGTCCTGTCAGTACAGATCGAGGGGTCGTCATTGTCAACGGCCGAGGACATCGCACAACGTTATCAGAGAGTGGAGGTCCTGCTGCTCTCGTACGGCGTGTGCTTCCGTTTACCTCGAATATCACGCCGGCCAGGAATGGAATGCTGGGAACCATGGCGAGGAACCGAACAAAAAAGCGACTCAATGAACCTGAAGACGCGAAGCTGCCACCGGTAGAGGCATTCCGCTTCAAGAGCTTCATGGCCAGCATCGAGGACCAGAGTGGCGGCACCGATATCAATGCTGATCTGGATCGCATTGCAGAAATCTGTGCCAAGTCCCGGTATTCCTTGAGCAATCAATATGAGGTCCATTACGCTCCTCATGGCTCCGGATCGTCCTTCATACCTGGAGTTGCTCAGACCCAGGAACCTCAGGGACCGACTCTTCAGGCCGTTTCGTCGGATGATGAGCGAAACTTGAGGCGCTCCAGAAGGAGACCAATGGGCATCAGGAGAAATAGTAGAGCAATGGGAACGTTGGAGACCATCATGTCTTCGAGTAGATCTTCCGACGAGGACAAATCCAAGAAGAAGTCTGCAGCTGAGATTGCAGAGGAGGTTCGCGGACGGGCTGCCAAAAAGAGCTCCAGACAAGAATCCTCAGCATCATCCTCCGAAAACGGAGCGGAGGAGAATGCCCCCCAAGAGGAAGATGCCACGACGCAGAGTGCAACTCGCCGAAGGAGATCTGGATCTCTGGCACTCATCGACGGCACTCGGCTGAGCATGCACCTGAATGAACTCAACTCGGCCACCGGCCTTGTCAGCGAACCCGCCCTGCCCCAGACGTCAAGCAGCCAGCTCGAGATCCGCACTGCCCCCGAGGCGGCGCATAAGGAGCGTATCCCTGCACCACCCAAGACTAGACCCGTGTTTGTTGAAGGGCTCGACCAACCCCTTGCTCGTGGTTCCATCTCCCCCGTTGACACTTCGCATGCCCGTCATAGCTTCATCTCGACGCTGAGCGGCTGGGTGACCTGGCGAGCCCCTGAGTCCACGCCCCATTCTCAGGGTCGTGCCGAAGGCAGCTTGCGAGAGCTACTCAAGTCAACTGATGTCAAGGGCAAGGGAATTGAAACAGTGGCATACCATTAAGGTTTCCCACCAAAAACTACGCGAGAGGAAGACAGAACTCTCGCCCAGAGACCGGATATCTGGTGTCCAGCTGACATCACATTCGTCTCGGAGAATCCACCAAAATGCAATGACTGACAATGAATTGATGAACGAATTATGAAGTTACGAGACCAACCCTAAAGGGCCCGCCGATGGCTGGGGACAAAGAGAGATACTACAAAAGCCGAAAAGTTTGCGATCAGATGGTACATTCTCACCAGGGAAGACAGTGTATTCATTCGTGTATATGGAAGATACCTTTGGCGCCGTACCATGTCAGGAGAATGCCTTGATGGCATGCTCACGACGACAATGGATGGTTACTAAAGCAGAGATAGCTGTATGGACGGAGGCCGAGGTTGGCTGTACAATACTGGACGCCATCGAGGACGCAAGGATGGACTATAATAGGCGAGACTCTGTTTGGAAGAGACACCCCTGGAAGACATTGATAACTCTAAGAATGGCCAATATATATTACGGGGATTTTACACATCTTGTTCGATAGCCACATGGCATCCGCTTCTTGATTTCGACATTATCTTACTTGTCACGCCCCTGGCGTCTTGCAAGGTCTTCCTCCTCTTCTTCTATCGCGACGCCCAGATCAATATAGGTATAAGGTACGAACACACTCATGCGCCGAAACAACAAAACTCGACGTGGACCACCCCATCCATCCATTTCCATGCTTCACGAAAGCCAATACCCCCCAAGCGGTGACAGATAAAATATGTGACTCTGCCTCTGCCAATTTGAAACATCTGATGCAAATAGCAAACGCCGCAAGACCAACCCCTGAAGAGGTGGTCAAATATCCCATGAACCGGTGCAATGAGGTCGACAATGCCCGGAAGACTCCTGAAAACAAAGTGTTTTTAAGGGAAAAAAAAGAAAAGACCCCTTTAATGCTTGAGTGACTGAAATCCCAGCCGGTTTGCAGCAACAACAGAGCAAGAGTAGCCAAAGGCAGACGGCTATGCCTTGCTGGTGGCTGCTGGGTGAGGTGGCTTGTTTCCGCCATTCTTGTCAACCTGGAGGCGCTTCGCTTCCCGCTGATCGTTGCCTTCGTTGGTACGCTTCTTGTCCTTTTCTTTCTCCCGGCTTGCGCTGTCTTTGGCGGCTTTCCGGGCCTCTCGGTCTCGGCGTTCGTTTTCTTTGCGGAGAGCCTTGGACTCAAACTCGTGCCAATCTCCATCAATATTGGAGAGCCTGTTGAACGGTTAGTATTTGTGACATAGCAAGAAATAGGAAGGACTCACTCAATAGCCTGTCGTGGTTGTGGTTCTTCTTTGGTGAAGTAAGGATGCTGAAGCACTTCGGACGCGCTGGGGCGTTTGGCAGGATCGTATTGGAACATGGCCGAGAGCAACTCGAACGCTGCCGGCGTCACCTTGTCCCGGTACTTATCGCCAAAGACATTCTTCCGCTTCGCTGTTGGGCGCAATAGTTCAAACCAAGCCATGTCGACGAGGTTGGGCCAGTCCTGAAGAGTCGGCGTACCCAAGATATTATATATCTTTTCCAACTGGCTGAGCTCGGTTCCGTCTCCAGTAAAGATGGCGTGTCGAGCAAATATCTCTACCATGACACATGCCGCGCTCCAAACGTCGACAGCGGCCGTGTACTTTGTTTCTCCGAGTAGCAATTCAGGAGATCGGTACCAGATAGTAATGACACGGTTGGTGTAATCCAACTGATGACGCTTGGCATAGAAACGGGCAAGACCAAAATCGGCAATTTTGAGGATACCTTCATTGCTCACCAAGATGTTGGCTGCTTTGATATCTCGGTGCAAGACTCCTCGGGTGTGGAGGTAATCCAAGCCCTCAAACATTTGTTTGGCGAGATGCTTCTTCTGAGCCGCATCCAGCTTGAACGAGGGGTGGTTCAGGAGACCTGTGAGATCATGCGATAGATATTCAAAAACCATGAAGCAATCGTTCTTCTCTACCATGACCTCTTGAAGGGCGACAATGTTGACATGCCTGAGCGACTGTAGAAGCTTGATTTCTCGAACGGCCGTGACGGGGAAACCGTCGCGCTCACCCTCCATGCGGATTCGTTTGAGGGCAACAAGATTCTTTGTATAGACGTTGAGGCCCTTGAAGACCTTGCCGTAGGTGCCAGATCCGATAACAGACTCGTTTCCAGGCTTCCTGAAGAAGACTGAATCTGAGTCAGCTAGGTCGGCCGGGAGAGTCGGTCTCGGCTTCGGCCGCTTCATGATCTTCTTGACCTTGCGCATCCGTGGTGCCACCCTGGGTCCTTCTGGGGGCTGGCGGTGATCATGTCTTGAGCGAGACGAGGCTGGTTCGGTGGGGGCACTTCGGGGAGGTTCTCGATCCCGGTTTTCCTTTGGAGGCTCTCTTCGTGGGGCGGCGTTTAGCTTCTGCGAGATCTCGGGTTTCGGTGCTGTGACGGCAGGTTTCGATGAGGGTTTGAACGCGAAGCTGAACTTGCCCCCAGACGAGGCTGATTGCGAGCCTGGACCTGATGGTGGTGGTCGATTTGGAGTCGTGGCGGCGTCTCCTTCAGCTCCATCTCTACCTTCACCCGTAACCTGGGCATCATTGGATGGTTGAAGAGGCTCAGTTTCGGTGTCCATCATGTCATGATTTGCATCGTCAACATCGTTTTGAGAGTTTCCGAATCGACCGTTTCCGGCCTCGTCGTGGTGTCCTCGTGGAGGAGGGCCTTGATTCCAAGGAGAGTTTTTGAAGCCACCCCGGCCTCGACTGGAGAAGGAGCCACCCCGGAAGCCACCCCCTCTGTAGCCACCACGGTAATTTCCTTGAGGATACTGCTGCATGGGACCGGTTGGAGCGGCATATGGGGGTGAGTGAGATGGATTTGCGTGGTAATGACTTGAGGGGCCATTGGGCGGACCATAGTTGGTGCTATGGGCGTATTGAGGAGGATATTGTCTAGAGACATGTTAGTATTGGCTTTTTAGCATTTGCATTCCCGAGATATCTTACTGCGAGCCGTTCCATCCACCACGGGACGCTCCATACGGCGACTGCGATGGTGAATTGTGGTAGGATCCTCCTTGCTGAGGAGATTGTGAATAGGGGTCATTGCCATATTGCGACTTCTGGGGGTACATGGGGTTGTAGCCTCCTCCCCTATGGTTACCTCGAGATGTCATGTCTTCGTCAATGTCCGATCTTGAAGAATGACGCCTGCCGGGAGACGTTTCTCGAGACCTGCGCTCTCGGCTCGCCTGAGGCGAACGTGGATGTGTCTGCCTCTTAGACGACTGACGATCAGAATCTGAGGCACGGTGGTCGTCGCGAGGCGATAGACGGGCGCGACGAGATGAAGACGGCCGGTTTTCAGGTGCGGGGGAGCGACTGTGTGATCGTTGTTGGGGTTTGTCTGCTCGAGCCCAAGGTTCACGGTCCGCGCGCCTGGAGCCAGCCTCGGACCTGGTTGGAGATCGAGTGCGTGATCGGCGCCTGTCTGCCGTCCGCGTTGGCGATTTTGGAGACCGTCCGTGGCGACGGGGTGATGGTTTCCGTCGCTCACGCGAGGGATGTCGGGCGTATTTCCTCGAGGTGGACTCGGGGCTATAGTCCCTTGTCCTGACCCGTGGACTTCTGTCCCTCCTCGATCTCTTTCGGCTTGAGCTTGTTAGAGATGGACTCCGGCTTCGATGGCGCTTGGCTGCTGATGGAGAATTGCGGCTGGTTCGCTCACGACTCCGGCTCCGGCGACGTGACTTGTCTTCGGACTCGCGGTGGCGCTCCCTCTCGGCTCGGTAACGAGGGATGAGATCGTCGACGTCGGGGGCCCGGCGAGAGGGCTCGGGAGATGGGCGAGAACCGCGATCACGACTGCGATCGCGTGAATGTCGGCGGCGACGGGAGGAGCCAGGCTCAGGTCTCGTTGAAGGGCGATCGCGGCGGGCGTCTGAACCGTGGCGAGATTCACGGGCTTCACGGGGAGATCTTGATCTTTGTGATGGCTTCACTCCTCGCTCGGCTCGAGCCCGTTCTCCTTGGTCATCACGTTCCTGGTCGTCTCTCATGGCAGCATGTCGAGGTCGACGTGGAGGCTTGGATGGGTGCTCCATGCTGGCAGCCGGGCGTTGAGTTTTTAGCAGTAACTCGCACGTTAAATCGCCGCACCTTAGCCGAGCCACGACCAGGATCGACTTCAGTGACTCGACCCGCTATCAGCGACCGGACCGTGCAGCGTGGGCGTGAGTTGCGGGGAACAATAGAACTCAGTTTGGCCAGATGCAGGTGATAAGTCCTGCCATCTGCTGGCGAGTGAGAGAAAAAAGGATGAAAGCTGTTGACGGAGAAACAAGTCGCGAAGTTGGCGCTTGCTCCACGCAAGCAGAAACTCGGTCGCTGGTACCGTTAGCTCCAGGCGGTCTCGTTGTGGTTCACAGCCGGGCCCTAGAACCATCAGTCAGTTAGTTGGTTGATGCGCTGCGCGCCCTGCGATGATGTGCGCGTTGGCGGCTGAATCGAGGACCTGACAACACCCTCCAACCTTGGGGAGCCTTGCGAGAGCCTTGTGCGTGCACTTGCAGGCCTTTTCTCTGCGGGCTCCCTCTCGATTGCCACTGCACTCGTTCTCTTCTCGTCCTTTCTCCCAGTCGAGCGAGTGGTGCAGAGTCAAGCGTCTCAAAGCCTCATCAGGCTGTGAAGTGAAATCCGTTGGGTTAATCCCCAAGTGGTTCCACCGACGTGACGAGGAACCAGCACCACCTCATTGCTGGCCCGAGAGAGCCCAGGTACTACATACGAATCCGTGTGGATGATTTACGACGAATGCCAGTCCTTTCGACCTTCAGTAGTCGTGCGACGAGTCCAGTTTCTGTCTGGACAAGAGGATGAACCTCTAATGGCGCAGAAAAACGGTTTCTGCACTTAGCATGTCCAGGTCTGGTTCATGGAGCGCTTCAGGCGACAAATGTGAATGAAGGGTTGCCCGCGTGTCAAGATACCGCGAGGCCTTGAAATCGCCGCATCTTTCAAAGTGCGGGGAAGCAAGCTGCAAGCACCGATCTCCTCACAAGTTGCGTCCATCGATCAGCTCATTTAGCTGTGACGCTGCTTGAGGCATTTCTCCCATGGCAGTCAAGATATCCTCCAAGCCAGCCTCACAAGGGCCAGACTGTCACGAGTCTCCACCGTGGGCTTGGTGAGGCCTCTATGGCCAAACCCGTAAAACTGCAAGGCAGAAAACTTGTCAGATGGAAGTCGGGACCACCTGAAAAGGAGTTGAATCCCAAAGCGAGAGCTAGGCAGGCCTCGTCCATCGTCATCTTGGTCGCAAGAGTGTAGACAGTTGCCTGAAACGGTTGTGGTCTGCATTTCCAGTAGGCATCATTCGTGGCATGGCGCGGTAGCTTTCCTTCATGATTGCCCGCCCCATCATTTAGGACGTGCGGCACAAAGCCCTTTTTTCTTTCTTGAGATGTGCTCGGCACTGTTGCATGCAAAGATCGCGTGCAAAAAAGTGTCGGCTGTAATGGCAAAGGGTATTCCTGACATGGTCGATCGGGAGTCGTCATGGAAACTCGGATCGTCGGAAAGGGAGGGCCCTGAGTTGGCCTGTTGACGTTGAACGGATCATCCCATCTTGTATTGCAGCCTCAGTCGGGCAGGCGAAGCAAGCATAATCTCCTGCGAAAGCATCGCGCCATGGAAAATTTCCCCGGATGTCGCTTCTTGGTGTGTATTACGGGCGGCGTGCTGGAGTCATCTTATGGTGTTTGAGGCTTTGTTGGAGAAGGACGATTAGATCCTGCTTGTGCGATCTGCTAAGCCCAGGGAAGAGCCAGCGTGGAAGTCACGTGGAAAGTGGCGTGCAGTGCACGTGTTGGATGAAAGGACTTGGGAAGGACCAGCCATGAGAGTAACGAGGATATTGCTTCTCGTCTACATTTCCAAGACATTTACCCAAAAACAACTGTACTCTCTTAAACATTACGCCGAGTGTTGTTTCCTTCAACTTCTGCTTCTTTTCCAAGGGAGGGAAAAAAGCATGGGCGCTCAATGCCATCACTGAATATCTGTCGTTGGTCCTACTAGATGGGTCCAAGTGAGGAAACTCGAGAAACCTGCAACACCAGCAAATCATACAGAATATGCCACGCCTTTAAATGTTATCTCCTACAGGTATCATCCATCCTTCGATTCCTATCTGACCCCTGATTTACGCATGGATGCTCCAAAAGACAGGCATCTTATCGCCAACACGTCAATGCAATCCCCTTTAATCGTGCCTCGGCTCGTTGCCATAGAGCCCCACTTACCGAGCATCACGGCGAGACTTTACAGCCTCGGACTCGTCATGGAGCCCGGTTGAAGAAGACCTGACTCGAAATTTGGTGGCACCAGAAATCTCGAGGTTTGCTTGGTGCTTGCTAGACCCGATGCAGAAAAATCGACCGAGCTGAGACCAGTTTGCCTCATCGAAACAACGTGAAACTTGAAGGAAATCGTCCTGTGCTGGAATTGTCGGTCATGGCCATTCCATTTCTCTCGGCCGCCGGATGAGATCCACCCCGTGTAACTCGGACCCGTTGTCGTTTTGCTGGGGGCGACTACTACGTACTTGGATCTATTAATACTACTCTGTCGCAGTTTTGTTCTCCATGCGCTGCAATCCTCTTAATCCCCCTTCCTCTCTATTCTGCCTATATAGAGGACTTCAGCACCCTGGCCGATCCCTATATCGTTTACTCCAGGGCCAGCGCCATCATCTTCGTCCCCCGCATCAACAACACAGGTACCTGTCGCATACCGCTCCACGAACTGCCGTGATGGAGTGGCTCGGCTTCGCAGACGTTGAATTCACCCATGCGCCGTCACCGCGAGCGGTGCGAGAAAAGGATGGCAACGTGACAGATCTGCTTTCCATTTGCGAAAAGACGACACCACCATGCCATCTTAACCCGCTACTTTTCAATGGCCATCTGCAGACCATGTGGACGGCGACCAAGCCTGCCGGACCCAAGGTCTGGTACAAGCGCAAGATCTTTGAGGCCGACCACAAGACCTACCGAGGCACCTTTGCCGTGGATTTTGTTGTTGAGCCTTTCGAGGAGGAAGATCCCACATTGTGCCGACGGACTGTCTATTACACTAACGAAGAGCTGGATAATATTGGATCCGACGACACCAAGCCAATGCTTGTCGTGATGCATGGCCTCTCTGGCGGCTCTCACGAGATTTACCTGAGAGAAGCGATTGCGCCCTTGATTGGTGAGGGTGGTTGGGAGGCATGCGTCGTCAACTCTCGAGGATGTGCACGAAGCAAGATCACCAGCGGCGTTTTGTACAACGCAAGAGCAACGTGGGACATCCGTCAAGTAAGGATGACCAGATACGAGGAATATGGATCCGTCTGACTGACAGGTACTTAGACAGTGAAATGGTTGACGGAAAAGTTTCCCAACCGTCCGTTGTTCGGCATTGGATTTTCTCTGGGCGCTAACATGCTCACAAACGCAAGTCATAAAAATGGTCCATGGTTTGATTCGAGTCTGACGGAAAATGATATAGTACTGTGGCGAGGAGGGCTCGAATTGTGTCCTGAAAGGAGCCATTGCGTGCTCTAACCCCTTCAACCTCGAGGTCTCGAGCAAGATTCTCCAGAACAGCTATATGGGCAAGGAGGTTTATCTGCGAGTTATGGGATGTAAGTTTATTTTGCTCCGTTAATCTGGAGCCCTGCTAACAATACATGTAGCGTCTTTGAAGGAACTTGCACGAAGACATCGGGATGCGCTGGAACAGCATAGCAAGGTTGATGTTGAGGCTGTCCTGGACATCACATACCTGAACGAGTTCGATCGCTTGATCCAGTAAGTTATTGAACAACACTTCTTGGGTTGAGATTGACCTTTCTAGGTGCCCTATCTGGGGATATCCCACTGAGTATGCATACTACCGAGATGCCTCATCGACCGATGCCATTCTATCCATCAAGATCCCTTTCCTGGCCATCAACTCTGTCGACGATCCTGTAAGACCTATACTTGACTCGTCACTTACTCCTGCTTACAGTCGATAGATTGCCGTTAAGGAAGCCATTCCATTTGAAGAGTTCCAGCAGAACCCCAATACTATTCTCCTTACAACAACGCTCGGTGGACATCTCTGCTGGTTTGAGATGGGTGGCGGTCGATGGTTCCCCAAGCCGGTAGGTCTCGTGTAGGATTGGCCATCTCTTCTTGAGCTAACATTGTCCCAGGTCGCAAACTTCTTGAACCACTTGGCTTTCAAGTGTGATCTTGACAGCCTGAAGCCCGAGGAGGCATCTGATGCTGATTTGACACAGGGACATGGCTATAGCCCAATGCGCCGCAAGATGTTGATTGTGGAAGATTAGGACGGGTAGAGCAGCTCTTCTGCAGGCCATGAGATCTGACGTTAGAGGAGTCTTGGTTATGCTCGAGGTTCATAGATAGACTTGTATACTAGACGCATGGCATACACGCACATAGACGGCACATGATGCCATAATTTGACCGTTTTACTCAATTGGCCGAATATGCCTGCAGTAACAGCCTGGTTTAGATGCTGTCTTGGGTCTTTATACCAAATCAACGAATACCACCAGAGGGACCAAACCCCAGTCCATCAAACTCCTAGCGCCAAGCCATGCAACAACTCCAGATTTTCCCCCATTGCCTTTCATTCCTGCGGCCTTATGCGAAAGAAACCCGCTTCTTGGTCTTGGCCTTGCCGGCCTTGGTGCCTGCAGAGGTGTATTCCTTGAGGCTCTCCTCCTCGTCGGCGCCCTTGCGCTTTCGCTTCTTTCGGAGGGCGTCCTTGGCATCTTCGAGCTTGTTCTTCTTGTCCTGCTCCTTCTTCGCCTGCTCAACCTTGCGCGCCTCGCGGATCTCCTCCATCTGTCGTGCCTTGATCATCTTGGACTCGATCTGGCCGTTCTTCTCCGCCTGGACGAGGGACAGGATCGTGCTCATGCTCTCCTGCAAAGTAAAAGTCAGCATTGGAATCGCCTCGCGATTGGGAATACATGAGGCGCTCATACCCTGTCATCGACAAAGACCTTGCCCTTCTTCTTGCCCCTGGGCTTGACGACGCCCACGGGAGTGATCTTGTTGAGCGTGGGAATGCCGAGCTGCTCATCGGTGTAGGTGCGCTTCTTGGGGTTCTTGAGCTTCCGGAGGAGCGCCTCGCGACCCTTGTCCTTGACCTGCTTGGACGGCGGCGTGCCCTTGGGCTTCTTGGACTTTGGGGCGATGTCCTTGGAGGACTTGCTCGAGGGGCCGCCGCCCGCGTGCTTGTTCTTGATGGTTTTTGTTCGTACCACACCCATCGCGACGACAAGGAGAAATGCGTGGAATGGTTTGGCGTGGCTGGAGGCTGGATTTTGGTGGTGGTGAGTGTCGCTGAGCTTGGCTGGGGATACTTTTTTTTTCTTTGGAGTTGCGATAAGAACCGATAAGAAATTCGGTCTCGAAGTCTGGAGCGGGGCCGGGTGGCTGGGCCAAGTCCCGGAGCACAGCCACTGAATCACGGAGGTCTGTGGCGCGGTATTTCGAGACAAAACCTGAGACCCCCAAGTGCACTTTGAAGAAAGCGTTCCTGCATGAAGCTGTGCCTTTGATTGGGCCAATTGGAGAAACTTTGTCGTCTCATGAGCTGATGCTGTCCCTCGGCTACACTTTCTTCCTCATAGTTCATGTCTGCGGATGGAGTTTTGGCACAAAAAGGCCTCTTGCACAAGCATTGGAAATTGCTCCCAGCTCCGTGGATCGGGGTTCAGCGCTAAGCCTTATCGAGGAGCCTGTCACGGTGGTTACGGAAAGATTGATGCGGGAGTGCAAATTAAGCTGACGACGAGGCATTGGTTATCTCGAGATCATGTTGCCAGTTGAGGACCCCTTAAGCATGGGAGGTATTGGCACGCAATTGTTGCCTGGTCGGTTAATTGGCCCATGATCATTCGTTCTGGTCGGACAGGGGTTCTTGATCTGTCTGGTCGGGTCTCACAACTCGGAGCCGGGGGTAAGGCCGGGTGAGTCAACGCCGAAAACCGTAAGAGGAGAATGGAGGTGGCTTTACCGTCGTATCTCGGATTTGTAGTCTCCTATTAGAGCTAATGTATGTGACAAGCCCCGGGATATGCACTGAGCTGGCTCCCGGTAGAATCATGAACGAGATGCCTGATACCAAGACTCCCGGCAGCCCCGCCACGCTTCCCCATGGACGGGGGTTTCTACGACACCACAGACGTCAGTGACGGCTGATTTTGTCTTGGTACGCACCAGGGGCACTCTGGCTCTAACGACATGCCAGCGTGCAACCTGCAACGCAGCGGAATTGACCGGTTCACTTGCACGAGAGAGGATTTGCTTTTTTCTTCCTAGCTGTGCAGATCTCGTGCGACAGGTGTCGTATCAAATGTTTCCAGAAGCTCAGGCACAAGGCGGCTAGAGAGTGTCCTCAGGCGCTAGAGGAGGTATACCCCGGCGCTCCGATTGTGTCACTGCCGCCCTGGTGAGTCCATGGATGCCTCTGACGCCAGGGCCATGGGTAAGGTCCCCCGAGTGCCTGGGGGTTGGGGGGTGGTCTAGTGGAGCCAGGCCGCGCCGCTACAGGCCATCCGCGACCACTTACGGCGAGGGTTTTCAGCGAGCTCAGGGCTTCTCCAGAGGGGAGGAAGTACATGAAAGTATTCTCTAGCTGAATCTAGGTGGGACGGTACCCCCTCACTACCCCAACTCTGCACTTCGCGACTCGTCTCGATTTTTTACCTTAGTACGTGGGTGGGCTGCCAGAATTTCTTCGGGCCCTCCATCATTCTTTCCCTCTCGCAACGTTCCCTGAACCTACCAAAATTCCCCAAACTCAACCTGAAAGATTCTCTTCACCAACTCCTCCAAAACAAACCCGCCTCTACCTCTCGCCAACATTCACACGCCTCCGACTCCTCCTCGAACAATATCGATACCCGAAATACTTCCGATCTCATCATCAGTCAATAATCGTAAACAAACGCAACCCTAGTCCCCTCGCCCTTCCCGCTATCCATCGTCGCCCCCTCATCCGACCTCGAGACCGTGTAACCTCCAAAGGCACTACATCGCCAACTCGCCTCGCGCCCCCAACAAGAACTGCATTTTCGTCTACGAACCTCTTACTGTCCGAGAAACCGACGCCGCATCCGCCCTCTTCCTCTTCCCCTCCTTCCGTCATATCTGAGGTGTCTTCGACAGGCGACTTCCCCGCCCTACCTTAATTTGCAGGCAAAACCTGTCCCATTCAGTCCTGATGGATAACCTCTGGGCCCGCCGCACAAAGTAAGTTTCCTTACATTGCCCTTCTGTTTACATACCATGTGAATCTTACCAACACTTTTCACTTCAACAGCTCCGGCAAGCTCTCCCTCTCGACACCCGGTCAAGGGTCCAGTGGTGATTCCTTCAGTCGCAATGCTTCCTTTCCAAAGCGCCAAGGCGGCGATACCCCGTCGTCGAGCAAACAGAACCCCTTCAACACTACACCTGGCGGCCTGGTCTCCCCCACCAGCGGTGCCTCCAGCGCCTTTGGTCTAGGCTCTGGAGCTTTCGCCTCCTTTGGGTCTGCGAAAACACCCAAGTCCTCGGCCAATCCTTTCGACTCGGCTATGGGCACCGCGGTTGCAAAGTCTGGCCAGCCCAAGGACTTGTCAAAGGTTGTGGGGAAGGCCCCCAGCATGGCCTCCATCTCTGAGGGTTCCCAGGGGGCCGCGGCGGCCGCTCCTGTATCACACCAGCTCATGGAGCCCTGGACTTTCTGGTACCGACCCCCGATTTCCAAGGCCCACGGCTTCATCGAATACGAGAAGACCCTGCACGAGATTGCTACTGTGCGGACGGTGGAGGAGTTTTGGGAGATCTTTTCCTACCTGAAGCGCCCCTCCTCGCTTCCGGTCGTGTCGGACTTCCATCTCTTCAAGAAGGGCGTCCGGCCCATCTGGGAGGACGATGTGAACAAAAAGGGTGGCAAGTGGGTTGTTCGGATGAAGAAGGGCGTGGCCGACCGGTACTGGGAAGACCTCATGCTCTCCCTCATTGGGGATCAGTTTGGTGACGCTGGAGAGGACGTTTGTGGTGCCGTGCTCAGTGTAAGGAATGGAGAGGACATTCTGAGCATCTGGACCCGAACGGATGGTGGCCGCGTCATTAAGATTCGGTAAGTCTTGTTACAAGCCAGTGGAAGTATTCTGAGACTGACTCTTGAACAGTGAGACCATGAAGCACGTCCTCAACTTCCCTCCCAACACTCGAGTGGAATTCAAGAGCCATGACTCTAGTATCCAGCAACGAACGGCTATCGAGGAGCAGCGCCGCGAAAAGGCGGGACAGCACCATCACCACGATAAGCGTCACACAGGTGGCGTGTCGAAGCAGCCCTCAGAGCAATCCTAGTCGTAGCGCGTCCGGCGTTAAAGTCCCTAACCGCCAACCTGTGTACTGTATTTTCGACAAGTCGTTTTCCACGTTCCGGGATTTATCGACCGAGTCGCCTTTGTTTTTTAACTACTTACTTTGTTTGTGTTTCATTGTCTTTACGAATGACAACTTTGTTGGCGGTGTTGGAGAGTTCTTCTGGGTGGGGCTGCTCATAACGTGTTCATGAGGATCAGGGTTGGCGGTTGGGACGGGACGATTGGATGACATGAGGGAAACCAACGGCTGTATGGATACAAAGGGCGAGGCCGGTCGATGATGATATCAGGCTTCGCCCAGGGATGGATGGTGTATTACTAGGTAGCTGCGAGCGGCCAGGACGTGGCTCGCCCAATAGCGGATTTCGGCGAGAGCTACAATCACAAGAGCGAGCTTTGAGGGCTGTCGTTTGTCGCCCAAGCAAGACCAATTTTGTCTCATAAACCGTGATATTACAATTGTGCCTATTAGTTGTGCTCATGACTTGTGTGGGGTCATGATGCCGCTGCTTTTCCCTTGCCCTTTGGCTCCCTTCTCCTCTCCCATACTTGTAGATATGTCTCTCCGAGATACAACAACTCGCTCTGCACCTTGTCCACAAAGAGATCCTGACACACCACCCACTCTCCCGTCGCCTTGTTCTTGAGTTGCACCTTCCATGTCTTGCGCTCCTCCCCGCTGTCGACCACATCCTCGCGCACGCGTACCGCTTCGTGGACGACGTTTGCGACGAGATCGTACCAGATAGGCTCGCCAGGAGGCCACTCCCGAGGGTTAGGCTCAACGTAAGGCGACATGTCGAGATTTCGAGCATCGAAGGTGACGATGGTGGGGTTGCGCTCCGAGACGAACTTGTTCTGGGAGAAGCGCTTGACGTGGAAGATGAGGTAAGGGGGCAGGGGGTGCATAAGGCGGTACCGCTTTCTCT